ACCCTGCCTGAACCTCCGCGTTACAGAAAAATGAAAATAGGCTGCAGTGTGATTAGTGCTATCTGGGGCTCTGAGGATAAAGGCTGTATAAGAAGGAATGGTCTGTAAACCTACACATACTTGTGCAGTTGAGTCATGCAGCCCCCCTCTCTCAGGTTGAGTGCTTGGAGGACTGATAATCAGCTGCAGATTTCGACTTTTGTATGTTAATGTGCCAACCGCCAAGCAAAGTCTTGCAGCTTTTCTTTCCACGCTGACCATCATGCACGTCTCACATCTGAGTTTCTGACCTTCTGAACCCTCACGATTTCTCACGTCAGGGTTCCCATCTGTGTAAGCTGTGCTTCAGTCAGTGTATCTAAAAGAAGTTCACTGTGTTCGCTATACATCCCTTTGTGCTATTCCAGGTGTTTTTTCCCCTCTCAAACAAACGCAGAACAGTTTGTTTTTTTCATCATCATCACGCCACCGGCTTGTTCAGCAGCCTTTTGAAGTGTTTTATAGCCTTTGATTCGTCTCTTTAGAAGTCTGCTGGCCTGCTGTTCATTTTGATAAACAGTGGAGTGTGTGTTCTGTCACTGCTACTCTATAAAATCTACAGAGAGTGAATGTCAGCAAGAGACTCTGCTCTGACACATTTTTAAAAATGTTGAATTTTATTAAAAAAAAGCAGAATGTAGCTATGTTGCCATTTTGAAAATGAAAGTATTTCATGGTGATGAATCACAATGTGAAATTGCGGTTCGATAAGCAATGTTTAAAATACCAATATGAAAAAAGAACTATAATTAAAGTCATCTTTAAGCTTGTTAATCATTTTAAATATGAGCTAAGGAAGGTGATGTCTTTATAAAAGCTGTAAAGTAAGGACTTGCACACCTATTTCTGTCCCTGCGTGTTATTAGTATGATACCAACATTCAATTTTTAGATGTTAGCATTATCCTCAATGTCAGTGTGTGTTTAAGGACACCTGCTCTTATTTACCTTGGATCAAATGTATCACTCTGAAACCAGACCATGCACAAAAACTCAGCAGTCATAGCATTTAAAGACACAAAGCAATTATGTTATACCAACAGCCTACATTTTAGAATATTTGTTAGACTGAAATACAAAGCATTAAACATTAAAATGAAACTCTTCATAAGCTTGTCAACTCACTCCTTCTTGCTGTTGAGCCATGGCTCGCTGTTCATGGCAGGTAAAAATGGCCTTCAGGCCAACAGGAAATGGCCCGGTGCTCCAAACACATAGTTTAATACAGTTTTATAAACCAATCCGTTGATTTGACCCTAGCAGTCGGCAATATAGCCTCAGAATTCAGTCACAGTATTTCAAGGAAAATGAAGTGCGTTTTCCATCCTCCTTTTCCCTTGACCTGCTATCATTGATAACGCACTGCCTAATTCAAAGAGTGACTCTACTACCACAACTTGCCAGCAGCAGCCACACCATTATAGTACCAATAGCAGTGAGACGGATGCAGTTACATTAGCCGTTACTCACTGTTCTGCACCGTTTGCTGTCATAAGGAGTGCAGCTAACGAGCGCTCCAGCGACATTTGCTTGAGCCAGTTTGTTTACTTTTGCCCACATATCACCCGCTATGGTTATTTTCTCCTCACCTGCCTTGGTATCCCAGTTGTACTCAACGGTGTCTTTTTGCCTCAAGTGGTGAAACAAGTTTGTTGGTTTCTAATTACTTGTTTTTATCTTTGCCTAATATTAAAAACAGTTTGATCTGAAACAAAAATTAAAAAGAAATCAAGACATTAAGAAATATTTTTCACAACACTGTCGCTCCCTTCTAAGGAGCTGACATCCGAGACCGACTCGCTGCGCTCACACTCAGACACGTTTGGGTTGTTGCTGTGTACACTACGGAGCATAAACACACAGTATGTCATTGATATCTCAGTGTGACACTTTTATATCATGTAAAAATTTATACTGTTAACATACTGGTATTATACTGGTATGGCAGACAGTGTGATACTGCATAGTTGGCTCGGTAGTTGAATATTAGCCACTGGCGGATGGCGGTAAATGCCACTGTATTTAGAGATTTATGTCTGGGCTCTAAGTGAGTCTGTATTTGTATTTCAATTATGTATTTGTTTATTTAGCCACTATTGGCAAATTAAAACTAACATTTATGATAATCAAGTCATACAATCACACCATTTTTTAATTGTTTATTTAATTAATAATCCTAAATAAAATGTGGCTTTATTTAAAATGTCATATTTACATGACATTTGGGTTTAAAGGTTTGTCTTTTTTTAAATATTTTGAACAGTTTATTAGATAAATAAGAATATAACAGTTTAATTTAAATGAATTCACTGAAATAAAACTCGTGTTTGCAGCCGTTACACAAGCACTACATTTTAAGGTCACACCAGAAGGTTTTTAAAACTACAGTAAATATCGGGGATTTGCTTATCAGTAGTTTCAAAGTGCTGAGAGGCAGTAAGTAACACCAGGCTTAGTTTGTATCAGGATACTTGATCTTTTTGACAACACAGCAGTGGGAGCCTCTAAGATATAAAAAGTCTCTTTTAAACTGTATACTCTGTACAGAGGGAGCTGTTAGCTATTCTATGATGTAACAATAATCACTATAAGGGTAAAATCTACCCCATCGGGCAAGCTTTTGTTATATCCATATTCATTTTATTGTTTTTCTTTCTTCTTCTTTTTGATGGAGGAGTTTATTAGGGTTTTTTTTTCCTTGCATACATAAAACTTTCAAGAGGTCTTGTTCTTCTCTCCAAATAAAAGTTGTAATGGCAGCACATTCAAACATTTTTATTTGATTTAGTTTTCATTTTTTTCGAGAATTTTTTTTTTTTTTTAAGTCTAGCAGTAACAGAAAAAGTCTACAGACCTGTGTTAAGCAGGCTATTGAAAACTCTTTGTCTTGGCTGCATTCAGGATAATTAAATTTGGAACGTTATGTTCATAGATGTAGTCATCCCAAAAGAGCCAAGAAATTCACTGTTTTGCCCTTTTAATCTGGTAACTTACTTTTGGAAGTAAGTTGTTATAGTGAAATTTCCTTTTATAATATATTTCTTTCTTACTACTCAGAAGAGTAACTCTTCAGAGTAGCTTTTGGGGTTTTTTTTTCTCCATTCCTTGGGGACATTGGTTATGTTGTCCAGATGATGTGTACCCTACCTGTACATTATACAATTTTGCTTTCCAGTCATTTTTATACCAAAAGGATTTAACTGACAAAGATCAGTCAGGTTGAACAGTTTTTATCTTGTGCATTGAGTATCTGCCTCAAGGCTTCTGGAGCAGTAAATCTCTCCACTCGGGGTCTGTTAGTCACAGTTCACTGCAAAACATTATAGCGCCTAAAATATGTTTGAACTGGATAAATCCTTCCAGATGTCAAGGACATCTATACAAACTGGTAATAAAAAAAACAAAAAAAAAAAACAATTATGTAACAGAACAAAAACAAAACAAATAAACCATAAAGGTAAAGAAAAGAAATTTTAACTACAAAATAAATCTAGTAAATAAACAGAACCCTGACACAATTCTTAAAACTATAAGGAGCTTCGTTTGAGCTGACAAAGTCAAGCATATTTCCATATGAAAAGATTATGAATATCGGATATTTAAAGGCTATTTTATTTATAATCAAAATCATTAAGGCTTTGTTACCAACTTTCTTTGATACCAAAGAGGCATTAAAGAAAAATCGAGTTTCTAAATTCATAATATTAGGCAGCAGGAAGGTTAGTCATAATTTGAACAAATGAAATGTTCCATCAGAATTGGAAAATTGTTGTAAAGTATATTCTTAAATAGCATACACAAATATATCTGCACGTGACTTTCCATTATTCCTGCCCACACCATTGGATCAATTACTATGAAAAATGTGTCTATAATTTTAAAATGATCACAACTGCATTTATAAACATACAACTAGGGTCCTATGACACCACTGAGTTGCTTGAAGGTGAAGTAACTCTGTTTTGTGTCTGCTTTCCAGGTTGAGGAGGGCAGTAAAGCAGCAGCTGTGGGTCTGCAGGTGGGAGATGAGCTTGTCAACATCAACGAGATTCCCCTGACTGGATATAGACAGGAGGCAATCTGCCTTGTAAAGGGATCCCACAAGACCCTCAGTCTGGTGGTGAAAAGGTAGGTAACCTGTCCCCAGTTACAGGATGTTTACATCCCCTTCGCCCGATGGGTCGCTGTGGTAACTACTCCAACCATGGAGATGGAGGATCCTGCTTCTCACAGCTGTTTGAGTGTATGCAGTCCAGCCTTTCAGGGATTTCACTATTTGAGTTCTCAGCAGCTGGATGTTCCTGTTTTACCAGGTTGTTTTAGCCCGTAGTCATTAGGAGTTAGTGGCGTGTGAAAGTTGTTCATGACGAAACGGTTCGAAGAAGGAAGTAAGGATATGAATGACATCATTTTTCTGTTGGATCCCACACAGGAAGGTGTGGCAAGCACGCACACACAAGAGGAAGCTGTTAGGCAAATCCCCTTATATGGCACTGAGAATTTTTTTTTTTTTTTTTTTTTTTTTTTTAAATCTTCGCCAGTTGGTCTCACATGCTCCATGATGAGGCTTTTCTTGTTTGTGTTGTTTTCAGATAGCAGCACTTTAGCCACATGTCACTGTCTTTTCTCTTTAACCAGTGAATAGATCGTTAAGATATCAGGAATCAATCAGTTATTATAGTTACCAAGAAACAAACTAAGAAAACTAAATATAAAGATAGATAGATAGATAGATAGATAGATAGATAGATAGATAGATATATGAGATAGATAGATATATTTAAAAAAAATCTTATAAAGTTTGTATCTGTCTTGTGTGAAACTTGTACGCAAATCATACAAGAGTGAAAACCGATATAAGATCCCTTGAAAAATTATATAAATGAAACTTGTATGTTTTGGATATTTACTAAAACAATATATGAAAGTAATGAGAAAGTGGCCACTTTCATGAGTAAATCATATAAGCCTTATATGATTCACTATATGAAGTAGGCCACATCTTATGCAAGTCTTTTATAAGGTTTGGTTGAATCTGAACCACCAGCCTCAGGAGGCTTGGCTTTACTGAACTGTTCTGAGCTACTTATTACCAATGAGAAGTGACTACCAGTGAGAGTAAAGGATGCTGTTGACTGGGATATGACAGCATGGTTAATGCATAAAAGGGTCTCTTAGGCAACTGGACCAGGGACTGTCCTCTCGTGACCAACTGTCAGCTGCAATATGATGTGGGATGAACAAATTGACTGTTCCCATTTGCAGCGTGGCAGATGCCTCAAAAACTAAAATTAGCACTGAAACAAATAAAAACAACATTGAAATAAATCCACTCTCAAAACTAACTGAAACGAACATAGAATTAAAACTGAATGGAAAATAAAAACCAATACGGCTATAATAACAGACTACAATCACTGCAATTACATCAGTGTGCTGGTTAAAAGCCACTTGTTGTGACTTATGGTTTACTTTTCATATCTGGTATAAGTGATGACTCATTTGTCAGTCCTGCTTACAGACGAGTTTGTTCTGTGTCAAACAGAACTCTCATTGTGTCCTCTTTGCAGCCTGCATTTCTTTCTGTGTTGTATCATATCATAACGTAACCCCTGAACAAATCCTACCGTACAAGGAGGTTCACTCACCATTTATCTCTCCACAAGGACGAGGCTGTGTGACTTGCTTATTGTGGTCTGTTCTCAATGGACGTGTTTATTGTTGAGTCTGGAAACTAGCAGGTTTTACTGTTTATAGCAAGCTGTGTTCATTTCATGACCAAGCAGAAATATGTAAGAACACGTAAACTTGTGCATGCGTTCACTTTACGCTTCAAAAAAAAAAAAAAGGCCTGTAAACCACACTTACTTAATCAGCTCATTACTGTAAGTGTGAGTTTCATAAACATTATTTTTGCCAGCTCTAATAAACAGGGCGTGTCAATGCAGGTCATTATCTACCTACACCCCAGTTTTCCTAATACCCTCTATAAACAGCCACCTCTGAAACTACCTTTTCTTTAGGGAAAAACATTTGAAGATATTCAGAATGCATTTAAACCTTTCCCCTTTTTTTTAAGAAGAAAGACTTATGTGTAGACTCTCATGATGTGATCTGTTTTTAAGGTTAAAAAAAAAGTAGTTGGGTTCAGCGATGGTATAATAATTTCACATAGGATAGTTCAGTGTCTGCATGTAGCCTCTGAAACCAAAATTTCATTTTCAACCTCAGTTTTTCTTTAGAGTGGAAGAATAACTAAAACATCCGGAGAGATGGATGACCTGCATGAACATAACCATGTGACTGATTTAAGATGCCGAAAGATCATTACCAATTAGAGCTACTTTTTATAGTGGAGCTGATAGAAATCCTCTCTGATAACTTCTGTATGAATAAAAATGTAATTAATTTACATCAGATTTGATCAAACTACTCCAAAAAGCATTTGAGGATCAAAGTTATTATTATTTATTTATTTATTCTTTTTTTTTTCTTAGTATTTATTTATTTTTTGTACTCATGGGTCCATAAAATGTCAGAGAGAGGACTCAGCCTAATAAGGTCATATCAGAAGCCCCACCAATTAAAAAGAAGTTTGGTCTTGAAGGGGAGAGAAGCTAAAATTGCTTTTTTAGATTGATGTTAAACTGAGGGGCTGCACCAAGGACAAAAACATGGAGCTGGAAGTGAGGATACAGGCGCCACCTTTAATGTATGTTATCTGGGTGCTTAACATAGAGAAAGTTGCACTGAAATGGCAGCAGGAATGTAGATCTTTCTGACTTGATCAGATAGCAGAAAAGTGAATGAGGGTTAGCTGCTGTGGAGCAATCAGAGGCTGTAAGAAGATAAAAATGCTGAAGGTGGACCTGGGAAACACCACCCGCACTCACCTTCTTCTTTTGCACTTTTTACATGAAGTATGATAAATTACTATACCTCAGTCATACACTACTCACAAGAATTAAAGGAACACTTAAAAAACTCATCAAAAAAATCATGCTGGATATCGATACTGATACGGGCGAAGTAGATACGCCCCAGTCAGATGGTGGATTCAAATCCAAGACCTTCTTGGTGTGAGGAAGTTTTCGGACTTAAAATTTAAAAAACTTGTATTTCTCATTAGCTAACATGGAGTTTTGTTATGCAGTGCAACTCCCTGTAAATTTCCAATCATATCCTGGTATTGCAGGACTGTATGAGACTGCTTGACCTTTTGTTAGCTTAAGGTAAATTAACTGTACCTAACAGCATGAATTTATCTTTTCTGTAATAAATATCTGGAGAGCGGTTAGACTTGTAAACTTCACATAATGTCTGACTGCCATATATATTATTCCTTGTGAAAAAGAGGAGGGAATTTTGGATTTATTATGCGACAGGGGAGCAGGATGTATGAGTAAAGGATCTGGGTATTGTCATTTCAGACGTTTCCTTACAAGGTCAGGTCTTATTGTTCATGTTGCACTTTACAGACTTCCAGTCCCACGGGACTCTTTCTGCTCGTCTGTGGTGAAGAATTTGCTTTGTTCCGGCTGTCTGAGATGGCATCTCCACTCAGTCATTTTCCAGGGCCACAATAACAAGTCTGTGTCTGATTTAGCTCACAACAGAGTGATAGTGGTACATTTACTGAGCCTCAAAGCTTCAGTTTCAGCCCCATTTTGTCTATTTTTCATCCAGCTGCAGTCTGATTGTTGTGTAGAAAACTTGTGTTGAGGTTTTAAAATGTTAAAGTGACTCTTTCCTCATCACTAACACGGAGCCCTGATCTGTGTCTGTGTGTGTAACACCTTTGTTGTTATTTTAGGGATAATATTGGATAGTTGAACAGGGACCAGAAAGCTGTCAGGACCTGCTCCAGTTTACAGGTGTGGCCTCTGCACAGACAGCAGGAGGGAGGAGCTTGATGCAGTGAGCCATGTTTCTTTGTTTTGTTTTTTTAGGTTTTTTTTGCATGCGGTGACTAATTTGAGATAGTGAGCATAATGTCAAAGGGGAGAGGCTCGTCGCAAGTCACACGAGAATCACAAAGGTGTGGTTACGTGTGGGAAAAGCATCTCGTATTTGCACACGCCTCGACAAAACAAACGTGCTTCAGCGTCAGCGTGCGGCGTGCAGAAATCACTCGGGTTTTCCAGAAAAACACATTTTGGTCTACTTCAAAAACACAATAAGGGTGTGAGCTGAGCTAAAGCTAAATTGCACCTTCCATCCACAATTTGTTTTAAACTTGCCAGCACTAACTACGGCATGCAGTCAAACACTATAATTCTCCCACACACTGCATTTGCATGAGCGCCAACATGTTATTGTTGCTGTTTGTGGAGTCTGAAATACAAAATTAGTCGAGTTTAGTCAAAGTCCTGCATGAAAGTTTCGGATCCTAAGTATTAATTTTTGCTTTTTTTTATGGCCCACTGAGTTTAGTTTGTTTTTAATTTTATTTCCCTTGTAACTTATGGTTATTTTGGCTTTTATTTGGGTATTATTATTTTTTACTATCTTTTCATTCTTATATAATATGGGCGCTAACTCTCACTTGTTGCCAGCCTTACATGGCCACTTGAGGAACTCTACTTTTTCAGTCATTTTTCAGCATCCGGTTTAGTTAACAATACTGGTCGGAGTCTAAATTGAAATTGCTTGTCTTTGGTAACCTATTTTTCATTCAGATAGCAAATTGTTTAAATTGAAAACAAGACAGTGACATGATACCAGAACGATACGTAATATTGAGATTGTGGTGCTATAAAAAGGTGTGCAAAAGCATTATCAGTGGTACAGTTTTACACTGAGTATAAAATAGTTGCATAAAGTATAAAATATAAGCTCAAATGAAGTGCTTATGTATGTTCTTGGTCTTTAGGACTATATAGTAGGGACTGTTAAGAAGTTGTTGTATTGTAATGTTGCTGTTGAAGGTTGTGTCTCTAGAGTAAAGCTCTTGATGAAACTTTTTTTTTCCCTCCGTGCAGTTCACTTTATTTTGTTTGTTTCTGCAGTTTGGAGCTGTCAGGGTTTCATTCCCTACGAGGCCTCCTACAGTCTGGACTGGCTTCCTTTCAGGCATTTGCTGTACATGCCACTAACTGTGGAGTGAATCATTAAACTGTACATGCGGCTTGTAGTGCGTTGTGGCATTTGGTTTCCTGCTCTTAGTATTATTACAACGCTACCACAGTCACAAACCAGCCTCGTTATTTTGTACTGAAAGAGACGTCTCCAATACTCAGAATGCGTGTCTGTGTTTGATTCAGATACGTGAAGGCTGCGCAGTGTTTCAGTGAACAATCCAGTTATACCTGGAAAAGCTTACTGGCATCAGTGCAAGCATTCAGCGGGGGGTGCAGAGCTTACGTTTGCTGGGCTTTGTTTTTCTAAATAAGCCCATGCACTATGTTGGGTATGCAGTGTGCTGAATTGTTGTTGTAAGCAGATTTCTTAAAATTGTTTGTCTCAAGTGAGGAAATGATAGTTTAGATCAGTGATTCCTGAAGTGTGATCCGTAGCCTCTTGATGGACCATGAAGGTACTGCAGCAGAGTTCATGCAGGCCCTTAAAAAGTTTTTGAGTAAAATGAAGAAATTGGTGTCTTAAAATCTAATGTATCTTTGAAAAGTGAAGTTACTTGCTTAGCATGCCTGGGAGTATGGCTGTTGGGATGGCATTAAAATTCATAGTACAGGAGATATCAAGATGAAAAACAAATTCAACTAAAGATTAATCATTTTTATGAGCACTCCAATTCTCCAAGTATAACTCTGACTTGTTCCTAAAATGCAAATCTTTCATTAAAGCTTTCTGTATTCCAGTGAATAAAATGTCAAAACTACCATGTGGATTTGACAGAGAGAGGTGAAGTGACATAGTATTAATCAAAGACAATGAAGACAACATGTTATCTTTCCAAAAGGGTAATAAATGTTTCCCAGCAAGTAAATTATAGTCAGGGCTGGATTAGGGGACCCTAAACCCTCCCTTAGTTACGTTGGAATAGGGTTTCCTTTGCTTCTGGGTTTCCCATGATGCACTGAGTGTTTCTTTCACCAAGTGCTTGCTCAGAGTCGGTCAGTCACATTCAGGTGACTGTGATTTGGCATTGTATGAATAAAACTGAATTGAACTGAGTGATCTGAGTGATGTTCTTCTATCTTCTACCTTAAAGAACATCTCTCTGAACGTGTTGAGTGTTCAGAGAACACTCAACACGTGGGGTTCCTGTTCCAGAGGGGCATGATTCAACACAAACCATGTCCTTACACAATTACACATTAGCTATTAGTGCCTAAACATGACACTGTAGTTTTTAAGATATACTGAAGCAGCAAGTGGATGTGGAATAAGAAAACAAATGAAGCAAGTTGAAACCACTTACTAGGGATTAAAGTGATATCATGCATCCCGAGCTGCTGGTTAATGGAGATGTCACTGATTGTTACAGTAGTAACTTCAGGTCTTAAGGTCAGTAACCCTGAGGGGTAAGGTATCTATCTATCTATCTATCTATCTATCTATCTGTAATCTGATCGAACCCGACAACCTTTGTGAAACCAGCCTTGTAATGTAATGTATGGATGTTGTTTTGAGACATAATACGGGGAGGGTCAGCCGTGATGTTTAGATTGTCAGCCTCCGAAAATGAAAAAGGTTTCCAGGTGTTTCTGGTCTCTGGTCAGTGCAGCAGCCGGTGACTTGACAGCTGGTATGCCACTCAGCCCAGGAATGTGCTGGTCATTACGTGCTGCTCACGGTTCACCTCTCTCACCCGAAACATGACTGGTTTGATTGTAGGATTTGCTGAAGGTGGTCTTTGTGAGTGCCTTTTTAGAGAGCAAATACAGCCCAACAGTTTACCTGAAAAGTGCAGGTTTGGCAACCTCACCTTTTGTTGTTGTTGTTTTTAATGCTCCATCTTTTCAGGTCACTAACATGTGCTTTCTTGTTACATTTAGGTTTTTAATCGTAGATATTGCAACAAATGTTAATGATATCAGCTGCGTTTGTTAAACCTGTGAAGAACATAATCCCACAGCTGAGCCTCACAATGCAGACCTTGTTCAGATGGATTGTACGCTTGATTGCTTCCCTCACAATAGAAGACTGTGAATTTTATTGCCTTCCTATCAGCTTTAGGGTGCAACCTTTCTTCACTAATCTTCTTGCCTGTCACCAGACCTCTTGCTGGTGGTGCCAGAGCACATTTTTAGTCGGGGGGGAAAAAAACACTCAGGAATTTGTGCTTGCTCTCCATCGCACAAAGTTAAATATTCTTGTAAGAAATTGATTTTTTTTTTTTTTTTTGAAGGTGCCAACACAGTTGTTGGATAGGATTTTTGTTAATTTCCCAACTATTTATTTAAGATGTGTGACATTAGCTCACACACTGCGGGCAATAACCTAATAGAACAAATGACACATCTGCCACTTCTCTACTTCTCAGCATCAGTAGATTCTAGTGCAGAGGTGGGCAATCTTTTTTTTCTCATAGGGCCAGACTGACTTGGATACAAGAAGCAAAATGCCAAAGATTGACAAGGCAAAAAAACCCAAGACACATAGTGGTGAAGAGTGTCTACAAATGTCTTCATTTTCTGTGACCCATGTTACTTTAATGTAATTTTGATACCATCACAGAAAAGATCTGTATCAACAAATAAAGAAAACCTCTATTTATGAGCACATGGTACTACAAATATAGTGAAGTTAGTGAATTACTTTCCACCAAGATTTTTCATGGGTTTTATTTTTTTATCTGTCTGAGACAATCAGATGGTTTAAAAATTGAGCCCTATCTTACTTTGAAACTTAAGTTGCTGTTTTTCTGCTTTCCTGTGATAGTGATGGTCCCCATAGTCCACCACCCCATAGTCAGACAGACTTGAAGTCCACCATGATGGTAGTTTTTGTTCTGTTCTGGAGAGCCTCTGTGAGCTGGAGAGTCACTCTAACCAGAGCCTGCTGCAGGTGGAGATGCCTCCCCAGAAAAAAGGCAAACGTTCTGGCTCTTATTGCTTTATGTTTTGGGTGGCTGACATAGTTTCATTTGCCTTTTAGGTTGTTAGTGTTAGATAAAGATGGTTTGCAAGCCATTTTCAGCCCTTGGGCCATATTTTGCTCTTGTGTGATGTCGTTAATTAGGAACATGCACTGGTAACCTGGATGTTTTCTGATAATTAATGTCAGAAAGGTTTAATTTTAAAGGGCAATATCAACCTGTCAGTGACTTTTCAAAAGAAATTACAACGTAAGGTTTCCTTTTTTCTTTTTTTTTGCTTTCTCTGCATTTTGATACCAGGCTCATCTTCAGAAATAATTTTCTAATTTACTTTGACACCAGTTATAAGGCTACACTTAGAGTAAGAAGCACAATTTAATGCAAAGTCTGTTGTTGTTGCTGATGTTCCTTCCTTAGCCATGCTCTATAATGGAGGCTTTCGGGAAACTGGGTGCCCTCACACCCTAGAGATCAACCTGTTGCCATAGTAATGGTATAAATGCATGTCTGCCTCACAACAGGGGAGATGGGAAGGGAAGAGAAAAGTCCGGCATTTCATCCCATCATTAGCATATTAGCCCTTTGGAGCCAATGAGACGGGGCAAGGTACGGGCTGGCTGTGACAATAGCCCTCCTCCTCCATTTCTGCCCACTCCTGCACCCCCTCTCAGGGGAAAAACCCAAGTAATCCTGAAGGAAATCTCCTCTCTGCTCAGCCTAAATCTATCAGGAGGACTTCGTTTTAGTAATGGCTATTCTGTGTTGAATATTGCACGTGAGCTATCCCTGGCCTGTGAGTTTGGTGGTATGGATGATACCCAGCGGCCTGTGTGCCTCTTTATTTCGGCGCGTCTTTGAAGTGGCATTGGAATGTGGTGCCTGACCAGCACATGGACGCAGCTGGTCCTTCAAACTGATTTCCAGCCTGATATTATAGGAGTATCTTTAAAAAAGCAGATTTCCTTCTTTGTGTCATTTCTGAATTCCTTCGTGCAGATCTTTGGTGAGTGCTAATGAACTTTTATTTAATGATTTATTCGCTTCTTAAATTCAAACCTTTGATTTCAATGTTTGGAGGCTTTTTTTGTCCTGTCACACATCTGGGGCCTCTGTGCTTGTTTTTCTGACCCTAATACTCTGTTATTGTTGTGATTGCTTCTGTCTTATCACTCAGTAAGAGGTCACCCATTATTTTAGGTTAAGCCATGATCAGCAAGACTTAACATTTCAAAACCAGATGCATATTAATCTTTGACTGAAAGGATTTTAGCTCCCAAAAAAATCTGTGAATAAAGTATTATTAATTAACTGACCATTAGTTGTTAAGCTTTTTGTTTTTTTTGCTGGTACTTGTCATTTGAAACTGAATCTAAACTGGTCAGTCAGTAAAAATCTACCCCCCCCCTTCATGCCATCTGATTCACTTTCCAAGCATATCTGTGCTGGTCCAGCTGTAGCCCTGACGATAGGCCTAATGAAACCAGCCTCATTTGCATACCAATAGCAGGCGCCATGTGTGGTTAGCGGCTAGTGCCCCAGAAACATGGACTGATGGGAGATGAGGAAGACCGAGCCCCCGTGTTGGCTTTTCTTTGTCCTCTAAATAGGCCTTAACTCTAATCCACAATTAATTTTGTGGAATCGTCCCACTTTATTGAGCTTAACCTTAAATCTCAATCTATAAAAAGAGTGCAGGGTGCAAAAATAAAAGCTTAGGTTATGAAAATTGTTTTCATGTCTCCGTCTGAAGGAAGCTGCTGTTTGAATCGCTTGCCATCAGACTGCTGAGAGCAAAGTGACTTAAGGGGCAGAAACCATTGACCCCGAGGTTTCTAGCACAGAGTTCAGAACATTATTTTCCAGAGAGCCATACTGGAAGTAGACAAAGTGCAACACATTGAATAAGTGAATTAAAACACGATGGGCATAGTTCTGAAGTGTTAAACTCCATCAGTTGATAGATGGATAATGGATTTTCTAACCCAGAAGTCCTGAGTCCCTGATTCAGCAAACACGTCCTTTAAAAATGACAGAAAAAGTTTGTTGTCCCCAGAGTTCAGGCAGTACCAGTAACATCAAAATGTTTTGTTTGGTTTCTCGTGTAATATTTGAGAATATTTTTACCAACTCAAACTTTATTAGTAGCCTACAACTGCATTGCTGAGGAGCACTGAATGATGTTGTTCTCACCTATAAAAATATGTTTCAACCAAAAACACATTTTTGTTTAGCGAATTGGCAAAAATTGCAGAATAATGAGAGAAAACAAAAAGCACAGCTGCACAGTTGTTTAGTTTTATTAGAGCCCAGCCAATTCATTGCTGGGTCAGTATTAGGAATTTACAGGTCTATCAATATCAGCGATTATAAAGACTGATAAATGATGTGATCTGTGTCCAGGAAGCATGTTTAGCAAACTCTGAGTTAATTAACTCAATTAAGTAACAGTCAACTGTATCTTCACCATGAGTTAAGCACATGTGAGAGTAGGTAGGGAAAGCTGTCATAAATAGAGCCCTGCTAGAACAGAGCCTTCCAGCAGACCGTATCAGTGCTGACCATAATATAATATGAGGGTTTTTTTTATATGTACTGCTGTTATTGCTCAACTTGAAATTTTATTAGATGAAACATTTAATTTCTAAATCTAATTATTCAGCTGTAACATGAGAGGGACAAAATGTAGGTGACAGAAACTGAAGATAAAATCTGGAGAAACGCATCAGACACAGTTTACTGACGGCCCTGTGGTATTAGTTGCTGAGATGGCAACAGCAGCTCGGGGTTGGATTTGCCCTCCGGTCAGGTTTTTTTATTAGGTAAAAGTTATTTTTGCTACAGGTTATTACCATTTTGTTGTTCCAGTAATTATCCAGTGAGGATAAAAAAAAGCTTCATGAGATTGAAATAAGAACTATTTCCAATCTGATCCAACATCAGCCTTCACTGATTGATGATGGCTCTCTTACAGCCATACCAGAGATGTTTTAGGAGTGAAGAGTTCAGTAATAGTTTCACATTTAACTGAAAAAATGCAGATTGGCTTTCCAAGTCTTTAATGAATTTAAAGTTTTGTCAGTTAAAGAAGACATGCTGTAAGAAATGTCTAAGCTTGTATATATTTTAAATATTCCATTGCAGTTGTGGGAGGATGAGCTATTTTAAATAAGAATTAAACCATTATAAATGGGGCCAAATCTGCAGCTTTACTTCAGACTCTGTTACCATGGTAACTGACTCAGAATTAAAGGTAAATCTTTCTGTAACAAAAACCTGAGTTTCCCTCGTCTTAGGGTCAACGAGTTGTTAGTTAGACCTGCCTCCCAAAACAGGGTAGAGGTTAGATAAAAGTCAGCGAACAACTACAAACGACTGTTACGTTTCTTGTGTCTGAACACATGAAACATAAACGAGTGATAATCAGCCTGTAATATTTTTCGATGCCAAATATCTGCATCGGTCTTAAAAATCTTGAGCATTATTAACACCGTCTATATCATATAAAGTCACAGTTATCGTGATTCCTCTATTTCAGCTGTTTTGTTATAGGTTGAGTTTAGTGTTTTGGCTCATTTGACACAAATTTCCAGATTGGCGAGAAATGTTGAATTATAAAACCAAACACTCGGTTATTTTAACGACCGCAGGTGTAACTACAAGGTTCTCCTCATTTCCTCGTTCCTGTCAAACTGTGTCAGTTTAACCTCGGTGGGGACAGAGAGGCGGCCTGGGAGGCAGACGACAGCTTGGATTGAGGGGTGAAGAGGCTGATCTGACTGTGTAAGAGATCGTCTGTCCTCTTAAGCGCCCCCACCCCATGCTGGGCTGCTGTTCCCTCACAGACCATATGGCAAAGTCTGAGCTCACCTCAGCTATGCTCACATAATGAGCCTAATGACTGATCAGTGAAACTGCATTTGCTCTGTAATGTACTTTTCTGTCCATCGTGACCAGGTATGACCTCATGCACATGCCCAGACTTTGAGCATGCTCATGCTGTGACAGTGTCATCAGTTTTTGACCAGTAGAGGGCGCTCTAGCACTACATATCAGCAGGCGTCTCCAGAGCTGTAATACACGTTCCTCGGCTGTCCTGCCTATGAGAATACTCAGAGATAAATAATGCCTCCTATTAATTATAATTATATTTTTATATTATTATGATTTTTGGCTTCCACTGACGATTAAAACAATATAATCAAAAAGATAACTGTCTTTTTATAAGTTTCATATATCCACATTAATGGCATTCATTTCTGCCTGTAGGCTTTTGCAGCACAACATAAAAATGCAGTGACTAGAAGGGGAAAAATTACAACAAAAATCAAAGCCTATAATGATAAAAGCATAAATATATTTGACTCTACACAAATTTCCCATATCCATGCCACACCAATGTGTCCATTACAGTTTGTACACATGTAAATAAAAGTTGTAGGTGAAGTAGGGCTGGTTCAGGATCACTTGTCCTGCTCAGTTTGTGAGACACTGACCTCTAAGTGTGAGGTTGTCCTGTGTATGCCAGTCGAGCTCTTAGTATGTGTGTATGTGTTCCTCCCCTTGCTGCCCAGGAATATGAAAATGGTGGATATTGTAGCTCAGAAAATGCCCTCAGAGAATGACGTGCTTGTGGCGAGAAGCTTTCTTACGAAGATTTTGCGAAGTTCCATGAGGTACGAACCTGCAGCTTCATTGTAATCCGTAGTGAACATTTTCTTTTCTTCCTCTCCTGTCCTTCATTCCTTTTTGTCTGCCCTGTGCCCATAATCACATAAATCATATATGTAGTGATTTTATTACTGCTCTCATAGAAAGTCTATCTGCACCCATCGGCATGCCTTTCTGTGTTGTGGTTCATTAGATGAATGATGTTCATCCCATTCATACAGCATGCAGTTCATTATCTGCTAGTAACTGATAATACAATTAATGGAACTTTGTTGTTTTTCATGTTTGTTTGATTTGTGACATGGATCTCAGAAAGCAGCACCTAAAAGGGTAGGTTCCTTATAAATATAAATATCTGGTTAATCAGGGAAGTAATAGTTTGACAGACAAGCAGCAGCTCACTCAAGGTGTAGATTCAAACAGAAAAATCACACAGAGCCGATACGTGTAGGAAGAAAACTGAAAATGATGAATACACTCAATGAGAAGGACGACGACATGCATAACAAATGAGAAAGCTGTGATTTTAAGAACAGGCTTAAAGGTTGTTACTGATTCTCTGAGCCTCACCTCTTCAGGCAGGTCGTTCCATGCTGAGGGGTCCTGATGGTCAAAGTTCCATCACTTCTGGATTTAACTGAGCCCAACTCGAGGAACGAAGGCTGCAAAGTGGCTTTTATAGGATATATAACTGCTATATAGTTGTTGTTTTTTAAAAAAAAGCAAGCAGGGAGCTGATTGTTTTGGGCAAAACCAGCAAATAGCCAGGGTGCTGCTCTTGGAGGAGAGTGAGTGGCTTTTCATTCATGCCTTGTCAGTCATAGTGGAGGGAGGGTGTTCACTCTATATAAAATCAGTCAGATCTAAAGAAAGTTCCCAAAGAAACACAGTTTGTTTGTTGTTGTTTTTTTTGTAAATTAACTTTAGTATATTTAATTAAACTAAACTTTGCCTTCATATAATTAAGATTTCCTGAGTTATAGGTACTCAAAGTACATAGCTTAGGTTGAAATGATACTTTTAAGTTTCCTTTTTTTGCTAATAATTTGTTGAAGAAAACTTCAAAAACCAGGTTTTAGCTTTAGATTGTGACACTTGGAGTGGGTGTAAAATAGATTTTAAGAAAAGCTTGCATGTTTTTTGGGGTTTTTTTTTATCTCCTTTACTGAAGGTGGTTTGGGGCCTGCACAGACCCAAACCTTCAAGGACAGAGATGGGCGTACTTCAGGCCTTTTAGCAGAGCTTTAATGACTGAAATTAGTTGGTTCACGATAGTGTAGACACCTATGAATGATTTTTCTTTCCCCAAAAGTGATTTATTTCTGCAACAGCTGCGATTTTTGCTTCACATATTCACATAACTGATTGTCCCTCTTTGTAAAACTTTAGTGACTAATCATAATGCTCACTCCCGACCATTTTATTATTTAAATTTCGACTCAGGGTGAAGACCATTAAAGGTGTAATGAGTGGTTTCACCTCTGAACAATCAGGCCTGGCTCTCGTGTTTCAGCAGAATGAAAAAAACATATCGCAGCAGAAGTCTGACTCCAGTGTGATTAAAAAAAACATCCAACCTTACACAAAATGTGCAATGTTTTTGCTTATTGGGTCACATTAGTGGCTTTAGCAGCATCTTCCAGTTGTAGTGGCTCATTATGTGGAAGCACATACTGTTTTCCATAAGGATTTGGTCTCTAATCCTAGTCTGTGTTTTTTGCCCTCTCTGCAGGAGGAATGAACCTATAAGTAGGCCTCACTCCTGGCACTCCACCAAGTTCAATGAAAGCCAACCAGGGACTGCCAAAACACAGTCTCCACCCGCGGCAGTCTGGCACACTCACTATGATGCAAGGTACCTCAGACTCTGAATGTTGCACATAAGCACTTTTGATCAGCAGTATGTGATTATGTGCTTCGTGTCCTGCAAGCTCTAAATCAAGGGCGTCAAACCCGTTTTTGTTCATGGGCCCAATTGGATCTCAACTGGGCCTGACCAGCAAAACCACTCCGGAAGAAATTTTCCCCACTAAATTTATCTTTGAGTGTTTAAAAGAAACCAAAAAATTAAACTTCAACGAAGAAATTTCACAAACAATCCTTTATAAAGCAAGTGATGAAGCCCCTGAAATGTGCAACCTCATTTACAGAGTGGAGCTACGAGGCAAAAAACCTAAACTGTAAAATATTTCTTTTTTTACTTGGGACTTTGCTTAGTTTTAAATATATTTTAAATGCAAAACAAATACATTAAAAGTAGTAGCTTTGGTGGAAGACACTGGTACAACCCAACATACAAAGAGTGAAGACCAGGCTAAGAGTCTGTCTCATGAGGGCAGCTATGAGTACCTGCCAGCCTGCCTCTGCTGAAGGATGTTTTAAGGTGCCGACAAGGACGAAGAGAGGACCAGACCCGATGACTCACTCACCACAGGAGCCCTCCATGGTGTCAAGGTTTGAGTGACAGAGCCGAAGCTATTACCACCTAAAGATGGTCAAAGATACTGAGAGAATAGGAGACACAGCTGCAGGTAGCAGATAGTCAATCCTTTCACTGGCCCACATACCTTGAAAACCTTGAAAGGTTTGTCTTGTAGATAGATCTTGGTGACAGAAGGCTCTTTTTTAGTGATGTTTGGCTTAAGCCGAACTAAACATCCAGTGAGTGACCTTTCATAGATGTGCTGAACAGAAAGGGCTGCTTTTGATTTGTAACATAAGAAAAAAAACATGAGCTTCATAGTGAAAATGAACACACGAAGTACCAAATGCTTTCTATCTCAGTTGTTTTTTTTATTATTGGAAATAAAAAAGAAATTAAAATTGGATTAATTTATTTTTGTATTTAGTTTTTGCATTTCAAGCAATAGTCATGATGTAGACCAGTCTCACATTATACCCCTACACCGAAAGGCCAAATACACAATAAGGCAGGGGTGTCATGCATGTGGTGCAGGAGCCAGAACCAGGCCGCCAAAGTGTCTTTCTTTCATCATGCTACTCTGTGCTGGACCCACCTGAGATTCAATTGGCCTGAATGTAGCAAATGGCTCAAATAATGTATATTTAACAGGTTTTAAGATAAAGTGTTTAATCTGTGTTTACTTGTGTGTCTGTGTTGTTTGGTGTCCAAAAAGCTTATAATTAACTACATCTAAATGTGATAAAACGAACAGGTTACATAGTGGTACAGATTTAGATCCCTTTATTATTAACGGCAAACTTTTACAGCTGAAAAACCAGTTGTTCAAAAATCTGTCATTTCTCTTAACCTCTAGCTCGTCATCGGCCAATCTCTCCACCAGCTGGGAGCAAACAAACCTGCGCAGAGTGTCCGACCAGTTCAGTTCTCATGGCAGCATGGACAGCCTAGAGCATGTGTCACACCCATACGCCGCTGGTCAGCTCTCACACGCCAAATCAAACCACAGCATGGAGCAACTCGGAGGAGGGAAAAGGGACTCTGCCTACAGCTCTTTCTCCACCAGCTCCAGCACGCCGGACTACACCCTCTCAAAAAGCAATGCTGCTTCAACAGAGAACATGGTCTACAAAGTCGGGCAGTGGGAGGGGGGAGGAAAGCACAACAGCAGTGGCAGAAATGGCCACAGCCTGGCTGCAGAGGGAGTCAGACAGGATGACAGGCTCACGTATTTTCAGATGCCAGGCGTCAGCTCAGGCTGCGATGGTCCACAGACCGAGGAACCGGCTGGTTCCCACCATTCAACTTCAAGTAGAACCAGCTTTGGGCCTGTTTGGAACGTCCCCGAGAAAAAGAAAACTGCTTCTTCTTCTCCTCCGCCTCCACCACCACCCACACGCAGTGATAGTTTTGCTGCTACTAAAGTCCATGAAAGAGGGCTGATGATTGCTCACCCCGAAGGAATCGATTCCCACCTGCAATCCAGAGCTTCATGTGAAAATCGCTGTCACAACATTTCCCCGAAGAACGACCATGACAGTTTTTACTTTCAGTCCGAAAAATCCCATCAGGACCAGTTCACTTCAAACAAACGGTATTCCCACTCCAGTGATGTTCGGCAGCCCACCCATGTTAACCAACCTTACCATCAAAGACACCACAGCGAGAAAACCACTTTTCATCCTCAGCCTTGGGCTACTTCTGCACCAAAGCCAAAGAACGTAGGTGGGTACTATTACAGCATGCAGGAGGTATCTGCTAACGGTTCAACGCAACACACTGGCCAGAGCCAGAGAAAGAACTTAAGTTCCTCTACAGGCCCTGACCAAAACACAGAGAGCAGCGGGCACAGCCGTTACTACTGTGTGACTACATGCCAGCCCACACAGCCGAACCCTGTGTCTTTGTCAGGAATACCAGAGGACAGGGGCTGTGCGACATATCTGCCACAGACTGGAAATGAGCGAACCTCCCACAGTCCGCTGACGGTTGCTAAAGTGAAGTATCATCTGCCCCAACAGCAGCAGCACTCACACACTAAAGACACCAATGGGTACAGCAAGCACCAAGTCACTAGTGTACATGAAAACCCAGCACTTAAAACGGGCTCAGAAGATTGGGGAGGCCAGAGAGGGAACAATACACAGACAGAAGAATCTCGGCACAGCAGTCAGTCTGAACAGCGCCGGCTTCTACCACTGCAGCACAGAGAACTGCCCCAAGAAGTCAAGCACGACAGCCAAAAGAGCAACAACATCTCCCCCCAGGCCAACCCCATGCTCCACTCACTGTCTTTGGATGTCGCAGGGCAAGATGATAGAGGAAGAGGCGGTGCAGTTTCTGACGAGTCCACTGAAGCTAAGCAGTTAAAGCGCGAAGACCGCTTTGCCACCACACTGAGAAACGAAATCCAGATGAGAAGAGCAAAGCTGCAGAAAAGTAAAAGTGCAGCTGTCCTCCCCTGGGTTGAGGGTCAGGCTAAAGAAGATCAGGACATCCGGAAGTCCACCGAAAGTACAACTCCAACCTCCTCCTCCAGCTCCTACAAGGACCACCTGAAGGAAGTGCAAGAGAGGGTGCTCAAGGCTACATCTTTCAGGAGGAGAGACCTGGAGCTAGTTTTACCAGAGCACTCTAATGCTGAGGCTTTACCTAACTACCCATCCTCGGCACATGCTCGCAAAGATGTCACGCCTCTGCCAGCTGTCACACAGTCAGCAACGAGCCATTCAGGAGGTCAGGTGACTCGCACTGGTGGTCGAAAGCATTTTCCTGCAGAAAAGAAAGTTAAGTCTTTCTCTGAACCAGACAAAATTCACAAAGTGGGGACGAAAGAGGGTGTCGCTCCAAGTGATAATACAAGCTCCTCATTAGACCAGCAGAAACTCTTTGAAGACTGTAAGAAACCAGGTCTACCTCACCACATGCCCCTTGAGAGCCATATCAAGCGCCAAAGTCGAGAACCCGCCTCTGTTGGTGCAACAGAGAATGCAATGAAAGGAATCAAAGGTAGAGATTACGCTGAGGAGGCCTTCAGAGTTTCTACACAAAAGCAGTCCATCCAAGACCAGCAAAGACTGGGCACGTTTGCCGAGTATGAGGCCAGCTGGAATACACAGAAGAAACCTTCAGAGAAAAGGGTCTCTGGACGGTACAAGTCAGCTGATAACATACTCGATCCAGGAACCGAGGAGAGAGCCAGAACCACCTGTTCCCATGAGAGGTTCAGATCGTCTCCATCTACAGAAGTCTACGAACAGGTGAGGCATGAAATCTCACGAGGTCCATGATCTCAGAGTAACTTTTGTTAAGATAGAATTATCAATGCACGAAATTTTTTTTCGTCATTTTGAAGTCCCTGTTGTGTCAAACCCTGTTGGTGGCCTTTACATCTCGTTAAGAGCAAAAGTGCTGACTGAAGGTACAGCGACAAAAGAGAAGCCAAGTCAAATATTAATCCATGTTTATTCTTAGTGGCACACCCTCAACTTAAGCAAGAGAAAGGGGCAACCCTTTCACTGGTGAGAAACCAGGAAGCAGCATCATGAGTTGGTTTGAATAATTATCGAAAGAAAAAGTTAAGCCTCTGGGATACCTGGGAGCCTGTCTGCCGTGGATGTTTGTGCGTAAATGCATTTGTCCGACTTTATTTACAGAAGATTCCAGTTCCTGCAAAGAAGTCAGAGGCAGAGTATTCAGAGCCGGAGAGTAAACCTGCTGAACCACTCAGCTCTGACACATGGTGAGTAAATCCAAAGACGTTATGAAAGAGCGATATCATGGCACTGGATGAATCCTGAATTAAAAGCTGTGTGAGAATTAGGCAACAGCAAAAGTGGTGATAAAGTAGCAACTTCCTGTCGGTGAAAAGGCTTGTTAGAGGTCTTGTTTTGGGTCAAAGGCTGCAATGCATGAATAGTTTTTAATCAGATTTGGCTGTTGATTCTACAACACTGATATTATATGTTTTGTGTTTTTATTTAGATTTTAATGATTTAATTGTTTTCAATTCGTTGTTGGTTTCCAGAGTGGGTTTGCTAGTTTCTGTTTGGTCTTTATCGTTTTAATGATGTTTAGTTTTGGTTTACTTTTTTATTATAATCTGGGGAGTTTGTTTTTCTGGGTCTGATTTAAGTTGAGAGCAGGTAGTGCAAACACTCGACTCTCAGTCATATAGACCTCCCAGTATCAGGAATTGTCTCCCCTAAGGCCTCCTGAGATTGTCTTGTGTTGACAGATTAGCCCAAACCCATAATATCTTAAGCTAAAGCAGTTATTGTTTAATATTTTTGGTATTTTAGAAGTTTTTTAGTAAGTTAGTTTTTTGGGTTATACTGGGGTACACAACTAATACAGTTAATACAGTTAAAACACAGTGATTATCATTTGTGAAATACTCAGTCACTATTTCCATCTCCCTGAACACACATTTTTTTTAATGTAGTGAAATAACCACACTTAGATGATATAGGCATGCAGGAGTTGTGAAATATTCCCATACTCACACCAAGACTAAATTACACTTTGTGTTATTTTAATGTGTTAGCGCTGCGACAGGTTGGTGACCTGTCCAGGGTGTATCTGCCTCTTGCCCAGTGGTAGCTGTGGTAGGCTCTGCGACCCTAAATTGGATAAGCAGATCAGAGTGGATGGATGGTGTTATTTTAAATGCGTTACTAATTTTCAAAAAGCTGTATAATGACTGTTTGTGCAGATTTTGTGTATCAGTGATCTTTAAAATCATTATTCTAGATAATAAGGCTGCTCAAATAAGGGTCTCAGGGCATTTCAACATGGCTACCAAATGGCAAAACTTGCTTCTATAAAGATTTTGGTAAAATGTCATGAAAATATACCAGCTATGGCATTGGGCTGGTGTTATCTCCACTATACAGCACCAGCAGAACAATTGGTGTTCTTACATGTATTTGCATCAATGCTTATCTCACAGGCTAATGTTGTAAAATTATTATCTTCAGTGAACAATTTAACATTGAATACTTGTTTTGCTCTTGCCGCACCATCTTCGTGTTATTATGCTCGTGAGCGTTATCAGTAAAAGAGGGCACAGAGCTTTTGGGGGAACACTGAAGTCTTTATAATCTGTTAACAGTGGCGCTGTCTGGGCGCAGCTGTAACAACATAAGCCGTCTCTCTGGCTGACTATTGTGTCGTTTAGTGGAGGCTTAGCGGTGTAGGCGAGGCATCTGAAAGTGTCCGTGATGGCAATAAAGCATTTCTTCAGCCCTGCATGGGAATATATGAGGGCCCGGAGTGCAGGGGGCCGGCTCGAAGGCATGACATTATCATCGATAAGATCTGCCAGTCTGCATAACTGGTTTTTTGTCAGTTCCAGCTGTGTGATTCTGAGAATGCAGGACTGTTTGGTGCAACACAAATATCCAGACTGGGATATCTCAGCTATTACAGCTACTGACTTCCACCATGAAATTAATTTGTGCGATTTAAGTACATAATGAACAAAATAAATAACTTAAGCAATCATATTTATGTCCTTTTTCTCTAACTAATCACCTCTGAGTGTGACAGGGACCAGGGGACTGATTAAGTTATGTATATAGTTAATAAATATATAGACACAAATTTCTCCATTGTAAGTAAGTGTGGAAATATTATGTGTCATACAGTATGTTTATATTTAAGCTTCATAATCCTGCGAAGCTGTCTGTCGATGTCTGTCTGTGTGTTTGCTAAAATGGATTAATGACTGATTAATCCCGCTCCTTGGTGACTGTTTGTGTTGTTGGTGACAGTTGACGAGTTCTCCTTCGATGACTCTGATATATTGTGTAAAATGCTCAAATGTAGCGTCACCTGTTCCACCTGTCCTTCTCTATCAGCAAATCCACTGCTTTGATTGTTTCGTGTTTTTCCACGAGCTACATCTGGCCCGTCACGTCCTTCCTCAAATGTATGGATGGTAAAACTAAAATATTGTAGTTTAGCTTTAATTATTATAGAAGCTCAAGATGGGATCATTTTAAAAAGGTCAGTCAGTAGTTTTGAAAGGTTTCTCTGATTATTATGATTCAGTTTTGAGCCATGTATGGTGACGTGGGGAGGGTGACTTCATGCTTTGTAACCAGTTATTCAGGAGTCTTTTGTCACTACCTAAACTCTCATGGGGGTGTCGAGTATCCGATGTTGAGCAACCTCTCACGTTTCCATAACAACCACGGCTCAGAGGGTGGTATTGTCATTGATAGTCTGCGAGATGACTTAAGTGATCCGTGCTCCACCCAGTTATTGTTACTGATACAAGTGTAAAGAGACACCAACAGGTGCCTTCTGTCACAGAGAGCCGCCAGACACTCACTTTTTCTTCAGTTCAGTGGAAATGACGAGATTAAAGCGTCACATTGGGTGAGTTATTTAATACGTATTTGTCTGTTTTAGCCCTAAAGTGACCAAGCTAAAGTAGCAGATGTCATTTATTACACTTTGTAAAGGAATATATCATTTTTAATGGGTCTGTTTATGTTTTCTTTATCTATGGCAGATACTCTAAATTATAAAGAATAATACCTTTTAAAACTTATGGTACGCATGAGCAGGGTTTTTCCTGCTCTTTGGTGGGTGTCTCTATATGTAAACATAATTAAGTCAAGCCAGAGACTCTGTGTTACCTTTATTTAGAAGTTTATGTATTTATACTGATATTTGGATGTTTCTTTTACCCCCATTTTTAAAAAATAAATAAATAAATAATAATAATGGTGAGATGTGATAGACATTTACTCAGTCTTTCACACTACCTTTTTAAAATCTTTTTAAAAAGTAAATGCTTCAAAATAACTGCCCTGAGACATTAAAATGGCTGTGGGGTGGTGGCACTTGATTATGATTATTTACAGTTTGTCAAAGATGACAACTAAAAAAAAAAAAAAACTCATTAAAAACCAAAATAAATGACTGTGAAGAATTTAAATACGGTAAATGCACCTTGAAGCTTTAGGTCATTAGATCAAAATTTCACCAAAGCAACAAAAATAAATAATAATTAAAAATATAAAATAAGTGGAAGACAAAAGCGACTGTTTCATGAACATTGATAATCATACCTCAGTTTTACATATTTTTATTTTTATTTTTTTAACAGCGTACCACGTTCTCACACTTTGCCCGGTGGAAGCAGTTGTTCATCGTGCAACTTGTTGCAGCTTGTATGGGTTCATATTGGGATGTTTGAGTTACGGCGTCTGCCTGTCCACCTGGAGCGGCATTTTATCTTACAATGGCAGATTAAAGCTGCATGGTATGAGTCAGTGTTGTCTGAATGCTCCACATTAAGGTTGTATTGGAGCATGTATGGAAATGTAATCTGTGTGCAGGAAACCACACTATTACAGCTAGATGTTTGCATGCTTTAATCATGTCTGCGTGATGAAGGCATTCAGACATGATTAAATCAGGTTGACAGTGGAAAGCATGTATGGCGATGCTCTCGGTGTGCTGCTGCTAAAACGTCAACCACTCAGTTCTCTGCTTGGGGCTGGTCCCTCTCATCTCTCTACACACGTGTAAAAAACACAAAAAAACAAAAATCATAATCTGTACCAAAAGCTTTTAAATGGAGCTGAAACCTTCAATTTAGTTTTATGTAGCACAAGTTCGCAACAACCATCACCTAAAGCAGCCTTACCGAAAGGTCTTTAAGAAACCTGAAGAAGTCCAGTCACTTTCTTTCCAAGCTCCCATGACCTGGATCACCGAGAACCAACATTGCTCTTGAAGTTGGACTGAAGTTAATTGGTTGCCGGGTTGTCGCTGTGTATGATCTGGCTGTTCTGTTCACTCACTCATACTTTGTGTCAGTATGTCAGTGCAGTGGCTGCTGAAAACCTTGCTAAATGTTCTGTGGTGCAAATATAACCATGGAAAACCAAAGAGGCAGTCTGTCTTCTAGTAAAATTACATATTAAGTTTATTTTTTGAGCAACCTGGCAGAGGAAAACAGACCAACGGACATCAACTGTTAAGTGACTACATTATACTTTATTATTCCTGTGATAAAAAATAATTTTGCAGAGGCAGATGGGGGGAATCCCCACGCCTCTTCATGCCTCTCCATGCAGCCTTGCAAATCGCACCCAGTACATAATGGCTCTGTTAATGACCTGTTTTCTCTGCACTGCACAGTCGAATCATACTTAATGATAAACACCTACAAGTTTAAATCTGTTTATAATCACCTTCAGCTCTCTGAAGACCTCCACACATCACGTTCTCCTCCTCCACTGTTTCCACTCCAAGGAGTTAAAACTCCAAATATGAATGAGGCAGGGGGAAAAAAGTGCTCTTCTGCTTCTAGAGGATTATTTATTCCTCTTTGCAGGCTTTGTGGGAACTGAAATATTCCTCCTCAGGCTGCCAGCTGAACAGTTACCCGCAGAAAGAGGGAGAGACGTGTGTCTTGTCGTGCTGGTGTAATGATAGTGGCTGCTGGAGAACAAGGCCCCTGCCACAGCGTATTATTTGATTGAGCTGCTGATGATAGCCCACGCTGCCTGGCTGTGTAATTAAAAGCTTTCCTTTGTGTTCCTCAGGTTCCCTGACAGAGCTCCAGGTGATTGTAAAGTGAGAGACAAGCCTGCAGAGTTTGAACATTACTCAGCGCCACCCCCTCCTCCCATGACGGGAGCAGACCCCGACTGCAGACACAGAGCTGCTGCTGCCACCCTCAGCCACAGACCCACATCTATTTCTCTCGAACTCACAGAGACTGCCCCCCCTCAGCCTGAGGACCACAGTCACACAGACCCGCACTCTGGACTCTGGAGAAAGCCCCCTGCACTAGAGAACCCTCTGCCTCCACCCAGATGCCCAGAGGTCGACTCCCACGAGTCCTCCGCCGGTTCCCAGAGTGAAGGCTTAAACCTCTCTGATCATAACTCCGCCTTCAACCACACCCACGCTGTTAAAGGAGACTCTGAGCAGGGCAAAGGACAAGGGGCAGGACATCATCTCTCAGCCTCTCCCTCTGCGTCCTCCTACAGACCTTCAGGGCTGGCCAGCATGGAGGGGCACCGCTCACCATCTCCTCAGTTTTCCCCACAGAGACTCAGCGACAGGCCTCCGGTCTCTCTTCAGGATGAATTCTCAAACAGGTAACGTTTGGGTTTTTTTTTCCCCACACATTTCAAAGCTGCACAACATTCTGAACAGCTACTGTAACTCCTCCGCTCATCGCGTCTTTATGCTTCAAGTACAAAGGGGCTCATTGAGAGTCGCTGCCTCTGTAGAGTCAACATGTGAGTGCTATCAAGGCGCAGTAAATTAGAGGGATTCTCTGTAGTTCAATTCAGGGCACAAGCAGTTCTGAGATTATTCTGCTCAAAATGTAAACGCCTCCATTTCTTAAGCCCCAAACATGAAACTGTTTGTTCATTTTCTTGATTCGGACCTAATTGATATCATCTGTAGCAAACGTATGACTGTACAGTACCACAGAAAGTGGTGGGAGGAGTCCAGAGGTCTCGGATATCTGAGCACACTGGGCATGGAAAAAATCTCCTCTGCCATCATGCAATGAAACTTTAAATCAGCTCATGGCTGAGAGAACCACAACAGGACGTTTTCTTCTTGTCTAAGTGGAAATTTTCTTCTCTCTCTCTTTTGCAGGATGGAGCATGTGATAGAAAACCAAAGCTCTGCAGTGAGGAAAGTGCCCATCAGGATTGTGCACTCGGGAGGAAATGCAGAGAAGGAAAATACACCGTTTTTGCAGCACAGCAGCCCCCCTGCCATTGAAGCCGAGGGGCACGCCGTGACTCGGCTCGGCAGCCTCGGAGCTGCAGGTCAGGACTCTGTCTTCTGCGCCTTCACCAGGCAGAAGGAGCCCGATGGCGTCCCACACCCTCAAAAGCAACAGATGCCCCAGAGGGACACATACATGACCACTATAGGAGATCACCTCCAACCGCCGCCACCCACAGACGTGTCCAGCAGCAATAAATTGGCGACAAACACAGGAGTGTCCAAGGCAGAGGATCAGAAAAGAGAGGAGCTGGCCAGGGACATCATGGGGAAGGATAAGTCACTAGCAGATATTCTGGATCAGAGCAAGATGAAGACCACAATGGACTTGATGGAGGGCATCTTCCCTCAAGGGGAGCAGCTGGTGGAAGAAGCTCACCAGCGCAGGAAGGTGCAGCCGAAGCAGACAAACTCCCGGCCCGCTGAGGAAAGGTGAGCATCGAGGTCATCCATAGGTGCTACTCGTGTATGCTGTCACCAGGGGGCAGTGTCAGAAGAATGAGGAAGAACCGGGCTGTTGGTTCTTTAGCCTCGTTCCACTGCAGATAAGACAGAAGAAATGATTCAATCATAATGGAGTGGAACTGACCACTACAAACAGCATCTGTGAACTTTTAATTTTTGAATTTATTTTTTTATTTTTAATTTGGTGAACTTGTCTTTCACTTTCATTGGCTGAGTAGCTGTCTTGAACAATCAACTTTCAGGCCTTTCAGTGCATCTCTGACACAGTTTTGTTTTTGGTGTCACTTCATGTCGCACTGGTAGCGTTTTAGGAGCTTTAAGCCTGTACTGGATTTTTTTTTTTTAAAAAACTGAAAAAACACCTCTTGTATCCAACTTCCTGTCCTCCTTGTCTTCTCTGCACTGCTTCATGTGTTTGTAAAAGTAAATTATTGATGATTATAGAGTCTACGTGCAGGCAGAATGCTGATTGGTTGAAAAGTTGGCTTGAACAGGAAAAGGAGTGGCAGCTGTATTAACTACAAAAGGGAAGAAGGATGGAAAAAATCCTCTTGTGTGATAAAACCAGCAGGGGAAGCTCAGACGGCAGATGATGGTCTTTTAATTTTAAGCTATAACAGAGCAGTGGCTGTTACTGTTACTGAATGTGTTACTGTAGAATTTGCATAACCAAGCAAATCACAGAGCTTCATCTTTAGTTTTGTGATGCTTGGAAATGTGATTTGAAGCTCTGAGCAGCACAATGAAATTTTTCAGGCTTTGGTTCGAGTTGCCCAGTGTTAAAGTCATTGGCTGTAGAGATGTCTGGAAAAGAAATGATTTTTTTTTTTTCTTTCATGATTACAGCTTTAATAATCTCACTCTACTCCGTGTTAGTGTGCAAAAAAAGGTTTCATTTTTCCCATACTTACAGACTTAACTGCAAATCTGATGCAGGGGTGAACTGTCCCTTTAAATGTTTGTATTCCCCTCGCTATAAAACTGCTCCTGTAATCAATTTTAACTTTTACTTACAAGCAAGCACCCACATGAAAAAGCGCTGACTCCCATCATCTTTGCAGTCGTGAAGCTGCTTTTATGGCATATTTAAACTTGTGACCTGTTACCTGTTTAACACACCTTGTTCAAACTGATGAGTGTGTCTGCATATACTTGTTAGTCATGAGGTGAAACTTCCTGGAAAATGCTCTTTTCATGCTTTTCTGCATTTCTGAGTTTCTTACTGGATTTATTTCAGGGAAAAGGAGGACAACGTGGCAGCAGCTACCTCGATGGTGACCAGCTCTGCATATTACAGCACATCTGCTCCCAAAGCTGAGCTCCTTATTAAGATGAAGGGCATGCAGGACCAGGAGCAGGAGGAGGAGGACTCTGAAGATGAGCTGGACAATGATTTGGCCAATAAGAAGGTACCAGAAACCAGTGTTTGCTTGTTAAAAAGCTTTACCCTTCGCACTGTTTTGGACTAATCTCTCAGCTTCATCTTTTTCTGCAGCAAGAGCTGATCGACAGCCTCAGCAAGAAGCTCCAGGTGCTCCGGGAGGCCCGGGAGAGTCTTCAGGAGGACATCCTGGACAACAACGCTCTGGGAGAAGAGGTGGAAGCCCAGGTCCAGCAGGTCTGCAAACCCAACGAGCTGGACAAGTTCAAGATGTTTGTGGGGGACCTGGATAAAGTGGTGAGCCTTCTGCTGTCCCTGTCGGGGCGCCTGGCCAGAGTGGAGAACGCCCTCAACAGTCTGGAGGAGGATGCTACGCCAGAGGAGAGGGTGAGCAAACCTTCAGGAATTATTTTAGATAACGTTCCACTTCAGCCACAAGCAAGTGGTGGAAAATGAATAAAAGAAGCTCAGTGTGAGTGTTCAGCTGGAAAAGGTCAGTTAGTCTATTTCATGAAGCCACGCTAAACCTGACCTGCTTGCTAAGAAAATTTTGCGAGTTACATGCGATTGAAGTACAAAAGAATTTACCATATGCACTTTTTCAGATTTCCTCCAGTAATAAAGCATTCAGGGTACCAGTGCTCATTTCCGTTCCTCTGCATCAGGGATGTCAAACATCACGGTCCGCATCCAGCCCACTTTAATCAGTGATCAGTGATATGCCCTCTCTGCCGGTGTACAGTAGTTAAACTACACATTTAATCCATGAGTTTTCTTATATATAAAAAAAGAAGTGCAATTTTAATAGAAATCTGTCAATATAACTCTTTGGGCTTAATTTTAAAGAATTAAATGTTTATGACTTAATTACTTTGGTGTAGTATTAATGGCCGTGGAGGAGGTCTTTATCAGTAACTGCAGGAAAAAGTACAAAACTTCTGAAAATGGCGTTAAAATCCAAAATCTCTGTTCTCTGTCACATTTCCCAAAGCCATCCAGTGGGCGGGACTGAAGTCTTTGCTGGGCTGATTCTGGCCCCAGCGCCTTATGTTTGGCACCTGCTTACATCAGAGTTGAAGATAAAACGCTGAACAAAAGCACGGTTTTGGCTTTGCATTGTTGTTACTTGGAGTGGGTGTAATTGATTTGGTTTTGGTGTTTAATATTGTTTTTCAGCCCTGAAAATTTTGTGTCTGACTCCATTTTATTCATATTAATTTATGAAAGCTAGAAAAGGTAGAATTTTTTAAAGCTATATTTTTTTATATACTTTGAGGGCTTGTAAATCTATTAAAACTATTTTTTTAATCATTATATGAATGGAAAGTTTTGCATGGCTTCATAAAATGTTTCAGTTATTGTATTGAGTAAGTCAGATTTGACTAATACTATATGTATAAATAAATAGGCAGTACTTCAGAGGCTCACACAGGATGCAGCGTGTGCTGGGCTCACGTGAGGACAGAGGACAAAGGAAAGTAGATCTATCCTGAACCCTTTGTTCTCATTACATCAGGAGCTTTAAGGCATCTGTGGAGCTACTGGAAGGAAGATCTAACAAGTTGAAGCTTTTCTTTGATGGAAATTTATTTAGCTGTATCGATACCAAGTGAATAATTTGATATGGGATGGTTAATATACATCCTTTCACACTCTCTCTTTCTTCTTCATCAGCGTACGCTGATTGAGAAGAGGAAGCTGCTGATCCGACAGCACGAGGACGCAAAGGAGCTGAAGGAGAACCTGGACCGCAGAGAGGGTGTGGTTTACGAGATCCTGGCGAGCTACCTGCAGGAGGACAGCCTCGCGGACTACGAGCACTTTGTGAAGATGAAGTCGGCGCTCATTATCGAGCAGCGCAAGCTCGAGGATAAAATCAAGCTGGGCGAGGAGCAGCTGAAGTGTCTGATGGACAGCCTGCCCATAGAGCAGCGGCTGGCCCTCTGAGGAGGACAGACACTGCTGGGTCTGAGAGTCACGTGGTTTCGGCTGCACATGAGCCCTGTGGCCAGCAGATGGCGGTATAGTTAAGAAAATCTGCACATAAACAGCCTATTTGGTGCATTTTCCTGACTTTGTGAGCATGCGTGTACATGACAACCACAAAAAACTCCACAAAACTTTCTTTTTGTAAAGATGGTGGTATTTTTTTTTGGGGGGGGCAACCAACCACTAATGCCCTTTTATGATATTTTTGCTTTGTTTCTTATGATTTTATTTTTTTTTAGTAATTTATTATAGCCTTTTGAATCTGGAGGAGACAGTATTTTATCTTCAACCGATTTAGCTGATGCGTGCTACACACTGAGCATTTAAGAGTATTTATCAAGTATAAATGTCACGAGATCTGTCAAATCTGGCTAAATATGTCAGTAAATTCATCATTCTTTACCTTTTACACTCAAACTAGTGGCCTTTTTTTTTTTTTTTTTTTTTTTTTAAATATCAAATATCCGTGCCCCTGCTTTCCTCACTGAAGAAACATTTCCTCGAGATGAAGATGCACGCACCTGCAGCGAGAGGAGAGTGTTTAACATCACTAAACAGAAGCAGCACTTGACGTCCAGGCTTGAATGGTCACATTTGAAGTGCGCCGAGAACCACTGCACACACTCTTCAGTCCACTTCTGCAGGTCGCATTATTCAGAGCGCTTTTTAGATTTATTCACAGGCAGAAAAGTGTAAAAATCCACAGGATGATGTCACCATGTACATGTTGACCAGGTGTTTCTGTTTCGTCTTCTCACGTCACCGCGGTTTTGTTTTTCATGGTGCAGAAGTTGAATCTCAACACTAAAAGATGTTCAGATTGATGATTATGCAAACAGATATGGATAAAGAGCTTCTTTTTTTTTTTACATTAACCTTCAAATTTCAGACTCTATGGATTAAATATGTCTCCCAGATACTGGAGAACTTTTTTTTTTCCCCTGCACATTTCAGTTTGTTACAGTTTCACACACTTCGTGCACTTCTACATCCTAAATGTCTTAAAAACGTTATCAGCTGTGCTCCTTTCTGTCAAATAAACGAGTCTGCTGTAGAGTCTGACTGAGGTCTTCTTCTCTCTGGTGTCATTCATTAACTCCACCACACCTTCCTCTCTCTACTGATAAACACTCTTACATAGCAGGGAGCGTATTTAACAGCCCCTTCACGTAACCAAAGCTAATCACACTTCATCGGAAGGATTCGATCTTTATTAATAAGGTGAGACGCATCTAGGTGAGTCAAATAATTAAATATTATTAGGAGTGGTTTAAAGATTTGAATGAATAATCATTAACTACAGCAGTGCTGGCACAGACGGTATGTACGGCTACAATAAAACGAGCTCTTTCCTCGTTTCTACTGTAGCTTTGTTCCTAGTTTCACAATAACTGGCAGAACTCTGTTTTTGAAACATCGGAAGGTAACGTCGTTCTCCTTAACGTACTGAATCTGAAGATGTTAAACCGATCGTATCTTAGCAGAACTTAGTCGAATTAGTGACCTGAAGTGCAGATGTGTGGCTTTAAGTGCTGTCTGTTATTCTTAAATATTAATAATCTGAATATTTGTTAACATATGCTTAATGCCTGTGCTTTATTTATAGCTGCTTTATTATAAAAGTCAATCAATGTCCACGCTGTTAACGTAAGAAAACAAAGACTACCTTTAAGAACGTGTGCAGTAGTTCAGGGTGAGCGGAGTGAATAAAAAGCTAAACTACTAACTAATATAATAACATGTAATGCTACATTATCTTATACATATAAAACATTTTTTTAATGTTTTGCTGTCTATTCAAAGGGAACGTTTGCATAGTTATCAACATATCTCCAGCAACAGGTTAAATATTCTAATACACTGACTTCAGTCACTGATTAGTTTCTGTTCTCTGTATTTGGCATGAGAAGATGTTTCTGCTGTAGCCAAAGTTAGAACACGCTCACATTAATATGAGATAAACTAAATTATAATTTGAGAATTAAGAGAATAAAAAATAGTAATAACAAGCTGGAATTAACTGAAGGTTTAATGGGAACAGAAAGCTTTTCACATAAGTGGAAAAACATTCGATAAACAAAGGGTTTAAATTATGAATATAAAAGTTAAAAGTAGTTGGGGGGTTTTATTTATACCAAATGAGACTGTAAATATGTGTTCTATCTCTCATGTAGTCTTGTTCTTATTGACCTGGACCTGAGTGCAAAATTTAATTTTACATCCTGTTCAAATGACAATAAAAATCCTACAAAAATATCATTAGCAGTTGAAATGTTTCAGGCTTGACAAAATCATGGATAAAAGGTAGAAGCTGTGAGTTAACAGTTGATATTTTTATCTGAGAGCATAGATTAAAAGATCAAATCGATGCCTGATAATATGGACGAACAGGTTAGCTAAATGTTTATTACGGTTTTTCTCAAAAGTTTGAACACATTTCCAGAACCTGTGGCTCAGTTTCACACAGCTCTAAACATATGATCCTGGTCAAAAACTCCTCAAGTATCTTGCAAAATAAAATGCAGCAGTTTTCACCTACAGCGTGTATGTATAACGAGAAACACTACATAGAAAATCAACGCACAGATACAAAAAGTTCACAGCAATATTTAGAAATGGTTCTTTATTTGTCAAAGTGTTCACCTGAATATTTTTCTTTAAAGACACAAACTGCAGTGAAAAGGAAACTTCGCACTCCATAAATGTTAAAGAGGTAAGTATTTTTCAGTTGCATTGAATAGATAGAATAAACTGTAGGAAACTAAACAGCAGAAAGCAGAAGAGAAAGAACAATTTTAACATGAACCAGTGACACACTCCGGGGCCTGATCAACCCTGGCAGGGCCTCCTTGGATGAGGGTGTCTAGTGATAATGGCCAAAACACCCGATAAATCCAAGGTCCACTACTGACGATGTGTCCCAAATTTTAATATGATAATTTAGATCAAATCTCTAATCCCTAAACCTAACCAAGGAAAAATGGCAGATTAGCCTGGGTAAAAGAACGAAAGTTGAGGCACACAACGATGTTTGCCGCTGGTAAAGTTTCTGGGCTGCTTTTCCTCATAACAGCCATCCCCCAAGGTTTTCTCCGTTAAAGCAATGCATTGTCAGGGATTGTAACATCTAGTCCTTTACTGAATCAGTTGGACAAGCAATGAGTTAAAATATTTTTTTGAGTGTTCAATAAACATAATAAAGAGCGACACTTGAAGTAGTCATTAAAAGTAATGGAAAAATGAGTCACTTCATAAATTATTAGCCTTAAAAAAACGAATCAACGTATGGTTAGCTAAATGTAATCACTAAAAAAATGATGAGATGAACCTGGTTCAGGTCTAGTTTAAAATGAGTTCTTTTATATGGTGCTAATTCTGCTGCATCAGCAAACCACTTTGCAACCCAGCTTCTAGCTTTCATATCATACCACTGTCTTCATGTACCACCAAGTTTAAATGACTGCAGATGGAAATAATATGCTGCCTTAAATGTGGTGATCAAACCCTTTAAAGGTTCCCTCAGAGCTCTTTTCAAATCAAAATACCCTTTATGAATATTTAAGAATAATGCCGTAGTCTTAACTTGTACATGAGAAGCGCACAGGTCATCTTACCACGGCCCTGTGTGTGTTGTTGTTTGCAGCAGGAGTGATGGCTCCAGCGATCGGTCGCTCTGAGAATTAGTGGTCAGACTGGACAACAATGCTTTACCTCACTCACACGGCTCACTGGCAGTTCCTGGGCCTGATAGTCGGATTCCTGGCATGGATCCTCACCATGACCACCGCCGGCCTCAACGAGTGGCGTCTCTGGCGAGTAGGCAATGCGTCCATCATCAGCTCGGGCGAGGCCTGGGTTGGTATTTGGAGGACGTGTTTCTACAGTCATGTCCTTCCCGATGTGGAGAACTGTCGAAGCATCAGCATATCGGACAGCTTTCTTCCCGTGGAGATCCCCGTGGCTCAGGTGCTGATGATGCTCGCGGCCATCTTTGGTCTTGCCGGGAACATCTGTGCTGCAGTGGCGGTGAGGATGGCCTACTTCTCTGTTGAAGATCGCAGGAGCATCAGGCTGGTCTTCCTGCTGGCAGGGGCGCTGTATTTGCTCACAGGGATGTCCTCCTTGGTGCCACTGGCGTGGAACATGAACTCTGTGCTGAAAAACAGCACCATAGACTTTCCTCCTGAGTTCCAAATCCCTGCTCCTCCTGTCAGCCAGCGAGTTGGCTCAGCCATTGGAGTGGGCCTCTGCGCCTCCATTGCGACACTCTTAAGTGGCCTGCTTTTCCTTTGCTACAGGTACGCTTGGCGGGCCGTGAGCACAGCGGGCCCTGGCGACCAGCTCAATGGCCCCTGGACAGTGACAACACTGCCACGCAAGTCTGAACTGGTAAATAGAGCAGGCATGGATAACGCTGCCTTTCACAGTGAATAAAACTCAACAGAATAAAATCTATGAAGGGAGACTGACTTTAGGGCTTTTTGTTTTGTTTTGTATTTTTTTAAAAGAGGCTAGGTTTGATACTAGAACTAAAAAAAAAAGACTGACTTGCCATATCTCAACCAGAAAACCAAAACAAAGAGCTAAAAAATGCTAAAATTCCTTGTGAACATACAAGGGATATTGATCAATTGTACTTTTATCATAAAAACAATGATTTCATTGTACTGAAAATAAAAGCCAGTGACTATTTACCCTATAGTTTCTATTTTAGGTTTATGTGACTGATTGAAGTTCAGGGATGGCTGCTTATCTACAAAAGTAATAATAAACTTTATCTCTGTTACTGAGGAGTGGTGTGTATGTGTGTGAGTGTGTTAGTGGCCTCAGCTTTTATGTAAGAACTGTTACGATCAGTGTTATTGCCACACAAGCCCGTGGGAGGCGACATAACATTTCAAGGTGTGGCTTCTTAGGAGTCCTGCGTGAGGAGGGGTGAGAGTCGGCCAGGTTGACCCGCACACGTGACCTGGGTAGGAGGCTGACGAGAGCAGGCATGTGAGCGTGAAGAGGGGGCTGCTTCATTGGGGTGATTGTTACCATGGAGGGCACTCATACACACACTGGCCCTGTGGCTGGCTCTACCTCTCTGGAGGCGGCTAGCTGATGGAGAACAAAAAGCCCTCTTCAGACAAGCACAGCACTCAGAAACGCAAGGCTCAGAAGTGGATGACAAGTAGAGCTGCTTTAAATACTGCAGAAAACTACTATCTGAATTAGGTGTAACCAAATTTTATTATTTAAAAAAACAGGCTTGTAAAAAGTAGTAAATAATTATTTGTCTAAAATGTTCGCCTGTCTCCACAAACCCTACCTACCTATCTCACTTGTGCTGTACATATCCTTTAGCAGATAAAGCTGTTGTGCTTTGTTCTCTATCTTTATCATTTACGGTGTTTTATGGAGGAAAACTGATAAGAAGACTGATTGCAAATGTGTCATATCAACGTCTGTAGAATTAAACCCAAAGGTAACAGCAGCTGGATAACATCTCACCCCATAATATGAGATTTTACTTGCAGAAGATTTGGAATAAAACTCTAGATGAGCAATTATATCTTAAAGCCGCTGTATTTTCCTGAAGAATTGCCACAATACCCATTCAGTAATCAAGACCAAAATCGTTTTATTACTCTGTGCCTGTTCACGTGTCGCCAGCGGTGGAAAAAACGTTGTCTCAAAGTATTGATTAGCGACTGAAATTGATAGCTAAAAGTCTTTAGCTATCACAATTACATTTGTTTTCTTATATTATTACCAATTAAAACTCTTACCAATGAATTAAAAGTTGAAATACGAAGCTAAAAATGCAGATAAAATGTTGTTAGCTAAAAGGATAGATTAGCAGTTGAAATTGTTAGCTTAAAAAAAATAGCTATTAAACTGTAGTTATAAGCAATTGATGATTTAAAATATGAATAACTTAAAAAAATAAATGAAAGAAAGGCTAAACGTAATACTTAATAGTAAACATCAAGTATATAGCATTTTTCTCAAAGCCCACGCTAAGGTGGAAGGAGATTTCAGGTACCATGGATGTGCTTTTCCTTTTTTTACTTTAACTACACTTGGTAGTGATTCCTGTGCAATTTTGTATTTTGCTGATATTTATGATATTAATGAACTGATATTCTTTATATTTAACTGTGATAAAATATAATTATTGCTATTTCACAGTTGCTGCTTCAACACTTTACCAGTAAAATCGAAACATCAGGTGCAGAAGATAGTTAAATGGTTTTGTTAATGGTTAAAATAGAAAATCTTGCTCAAGAGTGACTCATGTATTGCAAAACTTTAGTTTCCATCATCTAACATTGAAACAGAAACTTGGATGATCTTTATCTCCATCTGAACTACCAGAATGGGTCATGATTTGGGTCATGTTTGCTTATCAACCCATCTACACAGGTTTGTTTATTTGCAGTCGGATGCATTTAGAGTAAATTATTCACGACTACAAGACATATAATTTTCCTTGATGTTTCAGTGGCATTTACAGTAAACAAAGCAAAAAGAAAATATCTGCAGCTGTTTTTATGCCTCCCTGATGCCCACACATAGGGAGACTATGTGGCATCGGAGGACAGGATTGTCCCTCTCAGTGGGCCTCAGAACCACCTCTTCAGGAGCAAAGTCTGGCATGTCATTGGTACCTCAGGTAACATATGCTCCTGTGACAACTTCATTATCTCTCATTAGCTTCATCCTATAAGAACTAACTCCACAGACATGCACCAACCATGGAGGTTTATAAATCCTCATCCTCCCATGCAATAACACGTTATGTCAATGTACTTTGAGCGTATGTAAATGACACAGACAGTTATGGATGGCAGAGCGCGGTGGCACCCTCTGACCTCAGCAAATTTGTGTAATTATGTCAGCTTGTGCTACATTCTTCACAGTACACAGTGCCCATTAATGCGTTCATTAAACACAGCTTAGCTCAGCGAGTGACCAGGAAATCTTGTGGAATTAGACTCAAGCTGTGTTTCCACCGCCGCAGACACACCTGACAAACCAACGGACAGGTTTTTAGTCCCATTCGGTCGCCTGAGAGTCACAGACGAGCAGGGGGGGCTGATGAGGGATTGAGGAAAAGAGCAGCCATGTTTCTACCTCTGACATAACTGGAGTCAAACCTGCTCATGGCTTCAGAAAACATTTTAACAAATACAGGAAATTTACCTTTTTTAATAAAAAAAAAAGAGCCATTTTTCACCAGGATTGCAATGAAATTCTTTATGTGAATCATCTCAGTGTGCAACTCAAGAATAGTTTGTGCTTTAAGAGTTATTCTGTATGTTTACAGACTAAGAATAATTGACAATTACAGCATTTAAAAAGCTCAAGAGTCCTGCTAAACAGGCTTGAAATTATATTTTTCCTGTTAGAGAAAAATTCTGAAACCACTCCAGAGTAATGGATAAAAAGACCTTTTATAAAACATTTCTTTATAAAATAGATTTATTCTTACTGATCACAGCAGATCGTCTTATAATGTCTGATTGTGCAGGTGAGTCATGTAAAAGGGCTGAAACAAGGTGTAAATGTCACCATCGTATGTTGTCTCGGTGGTTTACATCATTGCTGTAAAGCGGTCCGACGTGCAGATCTACAGGTGATTGTGTTGTGATTTCAGTCTCTACACAGGTAAATCATCTGTTAAACGTACTCTGTGCGCTTCCTGTAATTTACACCTGTGCCCATCACCTGGTACCGCCGCTGCAGCACAGGCTGAGGCTCCACCTGAGAGCACGAGGAGGAGGTGATCAAGATCAAGCCGGCAACTATGAGGAGAAATCCTGCTGCCCAGCCGCAGTACAAAGCGTCTCCAAACTCCCACCGAGGCACCACGTCAGGCACTTTGTCATCAAAGAAATGCATCACTGCTATATGTGCCATATAGGACACGGGAATCAGACACAGAACCCCAGAAACCATCCCGAGCACCCCTCCCGTGATGATTAAAATCCTCTTGGTTTGTTGACCGCTGTCCTCTTTACAGCTGTGGACCAAGTCAAGTCCAGGTATTCCCACGAGAATTCCCAGCATGCCCACAGCGAGGGCAGCACACATGAGGATGCGGGCCAGCTTGAGGTCTGTGGAAAGGCCCAGCAGGCTGTCATAAGCCCTACACTCCATCCCTCCAACGTCCTGGACCACGCAGGTCTCCCACAGGCCCAGCTCGTAGCTCTCCACAGGCAGCAGCGCAGTGCTCATGGTCAGCCACTGCGGTAAGATAGTGGTGGTTAAAGCGCACAGCCATGCTCCAACGTAGACCAGCATCCCCAGCAGCTCCAAAGCGCAGGCGCACGTGTCCATGTTTCTCTCCCCCTCTCTCTGGCCTCCACGCTTGACAGAGCCACAAGAGTTCTTCTTCTCCTTCTCTGGCTGCACTTCAGATGGAGAGGCCTGTTGCTGTGCAGTCGGGACAGGAACTGCTCAAAACACCTGATAATTAGAGCTGACCGCTCTAGCTCTGAGGCTTGGAGCTCGTTCTCAAACAGTTCCCACTCAGAGGAGCACACATCTTCTGCTGCTGGAGGGAGAGGGGGGCCCGCATGGCCCTCCCCTTTGTGGTCCTCCTGCTCTCGCTGCTGTGCCAATGGGCAGCAGGGGCAGAGGCAGAGATGGGCACGATTTTTACAAGACCATTCCTATATGCTCTTCCAAAACTGCATGCCATAAGGGATGTCGTTAAATGTCAACAGAATTGTGTTTATACTGAGAAAAAACAACAACAACTGCTTGAAGTTCAGTTTGCATCATGCAATCCAGCAATAACTAGCATATGAACAAGGGGCCACACACTACAGCAAACTCAGCTTATTATTTGCAAATGCTAAACACTCTTGTCATAAACTTAGTTGCCACTAAAGCCCTTCATCTCTGTCCTCAAAGGGTTTTTCCTGTAGCCATGAGTAGCCATGAGTAGAAAAACATTTCAGTGTTAGAGTATCATAAAGGCAGTGTTGCACAACTAGGCCTTTGAGTGATTTATTACCAGTGAAAAATGTTATGTAAGGAGAGTAATGCTGAGATTTGCTCATAACCATTTAAGTTAAATTTAAAAATATATGAATATTTTTGTCATATTCCTCGTGGTGGGATAGCTGCTCACAGTCAGGCTGTCTGCTGCATGTGACTAAATCTGAAACAACAGAGCAGCTTATTGTGTGCTCTCGTATGAACACTGCATGGTTGTGGGAAATGATCGTAGGAGGCAATAGATCAAAGCTGAGATGTGAGAAAATGTTTCCCGTTCATAAACTCATAGACAGCCGTACAAACCACAAACAAACACACAAACAAAAATGCACAGATAACATCCCCGGGCTGCCAAACTCCTCCTGCTCCGGCGAAGAAAACACTCAGCTGACTGCTGTGATGTCCTCACAAACACTTAAGGAATACCAAATGATACCAGAAACAAGCTTAATCTCAGCTTTAAAGGGACGTCTCTGCAGCTATAGACAAGTCACTCATGATGTTCCTGGCCAAGAATGTCACATTACACATCCAACTTAATTTCTGTCTCTAAAAATATAAAAAATTAAAGTGTAGTTGCAGTTCCCCTTCTTACCCACAGAGGCCGCCAAATATCCTGCACAAATAAATAAATTGGCATGTGGTGGGGGATATTATTCAGAGTTTAAAAGAGTATTTTTTAATACTCTGAGAGAGAGTCTCACCTAGTGTCTGGTTTTACTGCTCCTCCTAATCCTCTTTCTAACTTGTTCTTCCACAGTTTTAAACTTAGCTGGATGCACAGTGTTAATTATGCTGACCACAAAATAGTTTGTAAATTTAAGTGAAAACCCCCTCACTACTGCACAAAGAAAGACACACACTTATTGGAGGTATTTGTCCTTCTTGCTGTGACGCAGCTGAGAAGATCCTGGCCTGTTTTAGTCATATTGTGTTTTATGTACCTCTGTACCATTCTACTTCTTGTGTTTTTTCATAAACAATACATAACTTATAAGTAATAATAAAAAAAAACTTTATTGCCATTTATTTTATCATAGCTTATAAAAACCTTAATTGTAAATTTTTAATTTTGACTCGCTGAAAATGGGAGAAACCAGGAGGGAAGATGAGAATTGAGTATTTCAGAGGGACATCTTAGATTGACCAATTTGGAGACAAAGTTAAAGAGGCAAGCCTGAAATGATTTGGTATTAGTACATACAATACTATACTAATATAGTATGTAAAGTACAGAGGAGGTATAGTGGATATATTGGACAAGGCATGTTGAGTATGGAGCTTCCAAGCAGGAGGAAAGGAGGAAGATCTCAGAACATTCACTAATGTAATGAAGAAGGACATGCAGAGGATTGGTGTGACAGATGAGGATGCAAAGAAGAGGGTCAGATGGAGGCAGATGGAAGCAGATGATCCCCTTTGGGAACAAAAGGGAAAACCTACAAGAAGAAGATAATAGTTGCATATTTTAGGTAATTTGGATATTATTTGGTGGGGTGGGCTGCTTTTAACCATGTAAAGCACTTTGTGCTACATCTTTGTATGAAAAGTGATTTATAAATAAAGATTGATTGATTGATATTTGAATCTACTTTTAGCTACTGAAGTAAGAATAATTGTAAAACAGTTGAAACGCCAGGAAGTTGATCTGGGTGGCCGGTGTATGAGCTGTTGCAGTGCCAATTAAGGCCAAGAGGTGGCGCAGGTGCACCACTAAAACGAGTCCTTCAAACAACAGCGTGATCGGGGGAGTTTCCTTAGATTTTATATTAAAATGATATCTTTTTTATAACTGTCTTATATTAATATTAAAATTTAAAATTACTTATTTAAATTGTATATACACAAACAGAAGCTACTCTTGAGATACATTAATGAGTGAATCAACAGGTTTGTGTCGCAGCGTTAGCTAAATCACTCAGCTGAATTAAAATTAAAATGAAACGTTAAGTCTATTTTATAAGGTATGTTTTCGCGGCGCCGTGAAGCTTTAATGATAGTGTTGAGCTCTGAAGTTTCCTCATTGGACAGGGGGAACTGGCTCCGTCGTACGTATGCAAATCGGCTCCCGAATATGGACACGGGGAATGAAATATGGCGGAGAAGGCGAACATGGAGAAACGAGCACTGAGAGAGCCCCGCCGCGCTGATTTTGGAGGGTTGTAGAAAGAAGAAGAGGAAAGTGGATGTACCCCCGGTGGGACTTTTTCCAGCCTCGGTGGAAAGTTTTGTATCTGCGTTTCTTTTCTCCAGCGCGTCCAGGTCGTTTGGTTGTAATGCAGTGAGGAGCGACTTTTTCAGGGGGATAAAAGCAGGGCAGGGGGCTGCAGCCCTCTCACCGTCTCGACGCTATGCCGTGGGTCAGCGGCGGAAAGCGGAGAGAGAGCTCGGAACTGCCGCTGCCCGCGGGCTGGGAGGAAGCCCGGGATTACGATGGCAGAGTGTTTTTCATCGACCACAACACCCGGCAAACTTCATGGATTGACCCCAGAGATAGGTACGCTTAAGGCCCTGGAGTAGTGTTATTACACACACTAACAAAAAGTAATCTTAATACAACGAGACTTCTTTATAAACTGACATAACTCACAGGAGAGCAGGGGCGTTTCCAGGGGGTTTAATGGGGTGGCACAGAGGGACCGAGAATGAGACAGGGTTGGCTCACTGGAAAATAATTGTAGAAAAGTAATATAGAAAACATAAACTAACTACGAACCATCCTATTCCCTCAAATAGAAGCTTTTATGTGCAAAATGGCTCTTCACATAAGCCTGAAAATTTCATTCAAAGCTATTTGAAAAAGTTTCACCATCAACATACACTGTTCTTCTTCTTCTTAGTTTTAGTTTCCTAAAGAAACCTACAACTTTGATCACAGAGAATATCGTTCCCCCCACATAATACATCCTTAAATTTTCTTTCTTTTTTCTGGTTATTTTTATTTACTACATTTGGCCTTATGTTGAACCCGTCAATTTAAGATTTTGTTTTGATGCACTTGATGATAGTAAGCTGTTCTGTATGCATGTCACCAGTTTAGTTCTTAGTTCTAGACCAGGGTTCCCCAGTCTCAGTCCACGAGGACGGGGGGCCCTGCAGGTTTTAGATCTCACCCTGGGTCAACACACCTGAATCACATGATTAGCTCATTACCAGGCCTCTGGAGAACTTCAAGACATGTTGAGAAGGTAATTTATCCATTTAAATCAGCTGTGATGGATCAAGGACACATCTAAAACCTACAGGGACACCGGCCCTCGTGGACTGAGATTGGGGACCCCTGTTCTAGACTAAGACGAAGATTATTAGCACTGTGGGCACCAAAATTTCTTGTGTAGTATCTTGTTGAACTTAAGAGATGAACTTAGGCGTATAAATAAGGAAAAGTCAATGAAATCGCCTCTTCCCCTTCCTATTATTTTTTTTATTTATTTATTTTTTTTATGGGGTGGCACAAAGCAAGAGGGGATTCACGGGAAATCAGAAAATATAATGTAGACCATAAATGAAAGTAGAAAGCATTGCAGATCCCTGTGCTATAATAGAGTTTATGAGAGTGTGAAAATGGTTTGATGAATAACTGTTTAAAGCGGATGTGGAAACTGTTTCTGTTATTTTCATTTAAGTTTATGGGCGACATATAGCTCAATATGATTTAAAGCAAACTCTAAATTTTTCCTACCTTTAATAAATGTCCTAGTTTTCACATTTAATGAACCAGTTTACAAAAAATATAGCTGGATAGAACTGTCTTAAAATATAGGCGAACTAAATAAGTGGGTGAGTCTATCATGTAGATAAACAATAGTATTTTATGCCTGTATTATATTGTTCTTGTAAAAATGTCATTATTTTAGTATTTGACTTGGATCTTCAGTCCTCCCTTCAGCTGGCAGTTTTTATTGGGAAACACTAAGTAAGCAATAATGTCAGTGCAGTTTCCATATAAAGACACTGAGAGGATTTAAAAGTTTTATCATTAAATATACTTAAAGTACTTATCATCCAGAATCATGATTATTCATTTAATAATTTTTATAACTGTAATATTGCAGCTGGAGATTATTTTAATTACTTTATTACCGATTGATTGATTGATGGATTGATAATACTTTATTCATCCCGAGGGAAATAGTCTGATCTCTCCTATATTATTAGCTGTATATTTTAAAATCAAATTATATTTGTAATATCGTATTTACATATAAAATAGCGTAAGAGTAGAAAGTAGAATAATATAGAAATAAAGTAGAAGTATAAATAATAAATGTACTATATTAGACTATAACACTGGCCCTGTTCATGTTCTTGTAAAATTACCCGCATATCTGGACAATGCCCCTGTTGGAGCAAGGTTGTAATTACTATCAGAGGTTGTGTTTTGGGGATAAGTAAAGTTTACGTTTGGCACAAAGCACTATACACGAGGCTAAAATAAACATGAAGATTAGGTGCCAAAGAAAAATATAAGACACAGTAAAATAAACAGGTAGTTTTAAAATAAGTAAATAACAATTCAATAAAAGAGTCTTCAACAGAAGACCAGTTTTTGACTGTTTTTTTTAAAAGAATCCACAGGGGCAGCTTCTTTATTGTGAGGTTGTGGTGAATCATGTGGCCACAGTCGATGATCGTCTGAGGTTTGGGAGCAGCTGTGGGCCTCCACAGCGCCTACAGAAGCTCCCTTACAAACATGATCATGGTCTAATGATCCCGCATGTCGGTTTAAACATGAAATTTGACAGTTTGGACGTAAAATTAGACAGCAGCTCAGCCTTTCTATTGTTGCAGAGGAGTTGTTTTTGTCCAAGTTAACCCTGTCAGCGTGGTCACCTGAGCTATTTATCTGTCCCTTCTTCACTTAGAAGAAAACCTATTGAGTGTGTGTGTGTGTTCGCATGTGTGTCAAACCTCAGTCATCCAGACTCATCAGTAAGCCCTGCAGATTTATGACTTCCAGTGACCTGAAACATTCCTGGCTCACACACCTAATACAGAGCGCCATTGTTATCCAGCTCCCCTTTCCTTTCCACACAAAGACACCTCCTAAAGACCAGTCAGAGAGTGAAGAGCTGCTCTCATGTTTGTCATGTCCAGCCTTCAAAAGATGACAATTTTAGTGTGTGATTTCCATTGCATGGAGATTTCAGCATGGAGATTAGTAGTCGGACATGTGCTTTAAACTCCAACTCCCAGAAATCTTTGTGAAAGTATGTGAGGAATGCTCGCTGGGCCACTGAGAAAGCTGCAAGGATGTGCTTTTTGCGGGGACTGGGATTTTTACCAGCCCAGAAGCAAGCTCAATCAGGCATTCAAAGCAGACTTTGTTGTGAGATTACTGGGAATTACAGCAAGTATTTTAGCTCTGATGTATTATGAGGGGAAAGGCTGAAATTCACAAAAACCGAGCTCAAAGTATGGCGAGTACTAGTGTACATTTTACTCCAGCAGTGGGCTTCTAGTAGCTGCGTGTAATCTAGATAAGGAAAACCTGATTTCCTCGTGAGTTGATTAACCATTGTTGTTTGCAGCTAATAGCAGTTTCGCATATTTTTATAGTCATCAGCATTTGAGGGAGGGCCTTCTTTAGTAAGACTAAAGAATGTTTTCTGCATTTGTTCTGGTGCTACTCTGTGATTTATAGGCTTTCTCATTGGAGGAATGTCTTCTGTCACCACCTGATACTGACTTTCCAATAAATCACATCGCAGCACAAACCTTCTGCTAATGAGCAGCAGATACAAAAAGGTGTCAGCTGTTCTGTCAGGGTTTTAAAAAAGCAGATAAATGAGGCTGTTTGCATGCACGTATGTCAAGAGCAGAGAGATGAATGCAGATATAAGAGGTTCGTAATTTCTCCTGTCAAGTCTCGGTTTGACAGCTGCTCTGCTGAGTTGAAATCAAAGGATGAACGTTACTCATTGGGTGTTGAACCCCTGAGAATCAGCTGATCTGCTCTGTCCAATGACTTTTTTTGTAAAGCCTTGCAAAAGTTTGCTTTCTTACTGTTCATATTTTTGGAGTTGACAATACACTGGGCTGGGTTGAAATTTGGTGCTTTTTAGTTTGCGTGAATTTTTTTTTTTCCTGCATTTTTCCTCCTAACTTTGTAAATACAAGAGACAACTTTTTACTTTTCGATACATTTTTATGACTAAAAATTTTTAAAGAAGAAATCACCTAAATTAACCCACCTTTATCTATTTGAGGTCCTGTGACAAAAAACAAAGACAAAAAAAATCTGCTGATTCTGAGGGGGTCAGGAGGGAACTTCTTACAGCAGGGTCATTTTGTGACTCATTTGTTTTTATAGGACTTCATCATGAGATCTGGGTTTTACCTGAGGCTGTTAAATGGAAAAAAATATCAGCCAGACACTTAAAAGACAAATCATGTGATGAGATTCTTTGGAGGTGTTGTGGAATTATAAAAATGCAATAAATGTAGTCAGGTGAAGACTGTTTGTGTGTTTAACCCTCAAGCCACCAAGATAATGACCAGAGGCGTTCTCCTGCAGTAAATATTTCTACTCTGCTAGGTGCTTACATCAGAGTGTGAGTGTGTGTGTATTAATGATAAAAAGCACGTAAAATGAATAAAATAAAGTGTTGCATGTATGATTGGGTGCGTAGTAAGAGTAGAAAAGCGTTATTTACATACCAGTCGGGGGAGCGGGGTGGAGGTGGAATGCTCTATATTTTGGGAATAATATGATCTGTTTTACAGAAAACACTGGCCTCAGATTTGCAGTTTAACTCCTGGCTCTCAAGAAACAAAAAGTACAGTACAGCAGCTTGTGTGATCTAGTGTGTTGCTCACCAGGTCTGCCTGATGCGCCTTGAGTCTGCTGACTCGCAGAGAGGAGCGTCAGTAGTGGATTATCACAGCTAATCGCTAAAACAGAGGCACCATTGAAGCTGGAACATAATTGTCAGTGATGATCACGATGAGCTGTAATGGGGCGGCGTATCAGCCAGAGGTCAAGTTTGTTCCTGCCGAAGATGGAGACGTTTTGGTTAGATGAGGGTGTGTAGTGACTCATTAGACGGACTTGCCAATGCAGTGCACAGATACCTGAGAAATTGAGGGTTTCTCTGTTTACTTTGGTATAGCAAGTAAATAAGTATAAGGTAATACAGACTCATTTCTTTCAATGTACAGCTCTCAAAAATGAGCCTTTGGTGGGTGACTGTGCACATTTGGTAGGCGTGTGGTATAAAAATGGCTGTGATGCCTGACTTTACAGAAGTGCGTGCGTTTTTTTTGTTGGCCATTCCATAAACAAAAATGTATTTGAAGCTTGAATAAATTAAACCCATTTACAGAAAACTTAAAAATCACCATCCAAGAATTTTTTTTCCCCTTGATGGAAGGCCAAAACCTCAGTGGTTTTTAATATGAAGGAAAATCCCTGAAGAAGAAAATGCTTCATGTGACGATGATGATGGTATGAAGACGATGCAGCTGGGCGGGCTGAAGATTTTCAGACTTTTGAAG